ATTCATGTGGAGCATATAACTTTGAAAAAAAAAAACACTATGTTGAATTTTAATATAATGGGTCAAATGTTTTTCACAAAATGAGATCACATCATTTGTTGTTTGAGACACATGGGCAGTAGTTGATCACATATGATCCGCTCGTTGTGACTAAATGAGTTAATAGACAAAACAGGTGTTCCACACTTTTAACATTAACTTGTGTTTTTAATTTTCTGTTGTTCTCTGAGCAAGATCTGGATATGACCAAACAATGTCCTTAGCATTTTCAACTGCTGACTTGCTAAGGGTCAAAATATTAAACATCTATTGTTGGCTTGCTAAACATAATCTTCTGCTGGCTAAGCAGAAACTATTTACTGTTGTTGACTTGCCAGACAGTACTGCCTGCTTACTAGACACTATTTTGATATCTAGACAGCTTAGACACTATTTTAGTATTTTTGTGTGGATGGGGCTTTGTTGCAAAAGCAAGGGGAAGAAAGATGATCGAGGAGAGCTTGGCATATGACATTACCACATCCAGCATGAGAATGGAGGTTGAGGCAGTAACTGATTGGTGAAGAAAATCTCAGCCACATATGTTACCATAGTATCGGATCAACAATGCATGCTCAGGAGGGTGGAGTCAAAATCCTTCAGAGGTCGCAAGTGGTAAGAGTCACATGGATATTTTGCTCGGGCATGTAGGCAAGCTCTCGGCCTGCATAACGCTGACCACATTACCCACCTAGTGCTGTTGGTCTGTAAAAATATGGGTGCTCTTCCCATATGCCCAATGCGCCTAAAGCATGGAAAGGGCTCTTTATTTTACATAGGTATATCTCACGTGTGGGACAAGGTAACAAGTAAAATGGAAGATACTGGAGAGAATGAAGCAGTAGCAGGGAATGTCTATGGGCTCCTGGCGCCACTCAAGACTCAGGGAATAGAAAAGACGAGTGGTTAACCAGATGACAATGGGTATCATCAGTATGGAAAATCTTCACTGTCCGATCTTAACCCAGATGAACCCAGTACTTACTTCACTGCAAGCTGGTTAGACACCACTGTTACCTGGCTAGACACTATCTAATGCCACAGGGTGTCTCCTTGGTGAAGTGGTCAAGCCCTTTGCCTCGCGGCCTGAAAGTCGTGGGTTTGTTTAATGGCAGCGTCGTTCAGTTCATGAGTGCAATTTGTTCAGAGATCCCTTCCGATCGTCGCCGGAGCTATGGAGGTCATGCTCTGTGCAATGCTCTTGGCAGGCAGCTAGCCGTTCTACGGTTAGAAACTGAGCCATATGGGATAAAACCAAGCGCAATGAAGACGATCTTCTCTCCTTTACTTTATCTACTGCCAAATTATTAGAAACTATCTGCAGTCAGAATGTAGTTTCTAGAAGAATTTGTGGCTATCCCCGAATAACGGTCACAAAATATGGCGGCCACAAAAACACCCTAACAGAGCCTCAGTCACGTGTCAATTGCACACTTCCGGCGACCTAATTTGTGGTTTTCCACCGCCGAGACTACCACCACCGTCGAGAGTATCCCCCACGCCGCTCACTCTGTTCAGTCCTTTGAAGTTATATTATTGTTGAAAATTCTTTTTACAGTATCAAATTAGATGGCTGGGACTCACGAGCAGCAGCTTCCGCATCTCCTGCAGCTTTGCTCATTAGTCCCAGCCATCTAGTTTAGCCCCAATCCACGCCGCGACTCTCGGCAGTGGTCGCCGGAAAACCGCAAATTAGGTCGCTGGAAGTGTGCAATTGACACGTGACTAAGGCCCTGTTTTTGGTCGCCATATTTTGTGCCCGTTATTCGGAGGATAGCCGAATTTGTTAACCAGCTGCTCCAAACAGCTCTGAGTGACATGATGCTGAAAGGCAAACACTGCTGGTTAAGATAACTCACCCGTGGCAGGAATGAATGTCGTGACATTTTTATTTGCTGGTCTGGCGGATAGTCTCGATTGGTGCATCGTTTTAATGAACGTAGAGTGCATTTTTCCGAATTGGGGTAATTCATAGTGGTGGTCTCACTGATATCAACCCACTAAGACTCATACTTTCTTATGTCCCTATTCTATATGATTCTATAATGACATCAGAAGTATGACTTAAATCTGATTAATTACGAATATTATAATTATTTTTTAACCTAATTTTTCGCTAAAAATAAAACTTAAAACTATAATAATTTTTTTTTTAATTTAAAAGTATTTATATCATCAATTACATTCTGTTCAGTCCTTTTAAGTTATATTATTGCTGAAAAATCTTGTTACAGTATTATTACAAATATTTTAATAATCATATTAATATTTATTTAACCGATTACATCATGAACTGTTACGTTACTGTTAGTTTAGCACATTATCATTATGATGTTTAGCAGATTATCAACAGGTTCTTTAAGCTTTAAGTTTAAGCTAGGTTCTTCTCTTGAGTCAGCCTGACTAAGTGCCTTAAACACTAGTAGATTTATTTTTAGCATAAGCGAGGCTTCTTGTCACAATATACAGACTATAAGATTTGAGAAATGATTTAAACTGCCGACACCTACATGTCGTATTCTGCTCATCTACACCATTGATTTGAAACTGCGGCTCCATTAATTTAAAAGTTGGATAAGATTCTTTGAGTTCTACAATTGTACGTTGTAATCGGCAATGGTGAAAATCATTTTTAAATTCAGAGTTAGCGTTAACTCCGAAGATAATGTACAAATGTAACGCTACTCATATGATTATTATTGAGTCATTATTTTATTTTATTTACATTTTCTGTGCGTTATATCCTTACTCTTCCCGAACTTTGTTTCTTTCGATTCATACCTATAGCAACACAATGTAAACATCCGGTTCTGGACAAATGGAGATATTTGCAACACTTTCATGTTCACTCGTTAAATATGTTTATAAAACAATTTATTAAAACAATTTTTTAAACGTTGCAAACACATGTAATTTTATTTGAAATTTGAAGCAGTTAAAGAACTTTACAAAATGATATTAACAAAAGTATTCGTGGATAGAGTGAGATAAATCTTGGTATTTTAATTAGTATTATTATTATTTACATCATGATTGGTTTTTATTGAAAGCATCAGACTGACGTCGTCAGTGATGGACGTTTGACACAACCAGGGAACAACACACCGAGCGATAAACATCCGGTGACACAAAGTGCCACTATTCGGATGAGGAGCACCCCAGGAAGGTCCCAGAAACTCTGTTCAATCCATAGGTTGGGTCGTATTAGAGCACCTGGCAACAGCTAGGGTGAGGCTTTGAGAAACTTTCTTTTGGGCTATCCTCCGAATAACGATCTCAAATTATCGAGGCTGAAAATATACCCTAACAGGGACACAGTCACATGTCAATTGCGGACTTCCGGAGGACTACACCGCCACCGCCAAATTGCGGACTTCCGGGGATTATAAGGCCACCGCCGAAAGTATCTTCCCACGCCGCTACGCGCAGCGTGGATTGGGGCTAAACTAGATGGGTGGGACTCATGAGCAAATAAAATTAAGAAAGCTGCAGGAGATGCGATAGCTGCTGCTCGTGAGTCTCAGCCATCTAGTTTAGCCCCAATCCACACCGCTACACGCGGCGTGGGAGATACTCTCGGCATTCATTTCCTCTTTCTCCCTTCCACTCTCTATCTACTCTCTTTCTCTCTACTCTCTCTCTCTCTCTCTCTCTCTCTCTCTCTCTCTCTCTCTCTCTCTCTCTCTCTCTCTCTCTCTCTCTCTCTTTCTCTCACACTCTTTCTCTTTATATGTTATTCTCTTTGTCACATGTTCCCTTGCTCGCAAAATTTTCTCTTATCACTCAGCCACCTTTTAATGCTTTGTAGAATTGAATTAATGTGTCTTGGTGTGCTCCCCATCCATTTCATTTAATCATTCTCAATATATTATTGCACTTTTTTTGCACTTTATTACTAGTTCTTTGATTTGCTTGTTCCAGTTGATTTGTTTGTCCAGTATTATTCCTATAAATCTTGTGGTGTTTTTCCTTTGTATTTTACCATTTATTTGGATTTTAGTATCACTGGGGTCAAAAAGCTGGTTCCTAAAATTGAAAATCATGCTAAATTCTCAGTTGTTCATCATCATTCCTTGTAGTCTTTTCCTAGAGTTATCTATACTTTTATAGCGGTGGTAAATTGCACAGTAATCCACAAACTGCATTACACTGTTTTCTTTATTGGTACTTACTTCGTTTAGATCATTTACAAGTATACTGAAGAGCATCGGAGTCAGTGCCGCCCCATGAGGAATCTCATTCTTCTGATTAAATGTTGGCAATCTTTTATTGTTCACTAGTACTGAAAATGTTCTATCTTTTAGGAAGTTTAGATGAGTGCATTAAGGGATGTAATCCATTATTGTTCACATTATAGTATTCCTTGATATTTAATATTGTTTGTGATTAGGATTAGGGTTTGGGTTAAGGTTAGTGTTAGCCCTAACTCCAACCCTAATCAAAACACTGACATTAACCTGAAGCAATATAAAAAATTAGAGAACATCATAATGTGAATTTAAATAAGCAATAGATTGATGTCCCTTATGATCGCTGTAAGTAAACAATTTCCCATGGTTGCTGTTTTCAGTTGCCAAAAGTTGCAAAACTTTGGGCGCATAAGTCATACGTTTTGTTGGTTTAATTTAACATTGTAGTAATATGTTAATTAATAAGTACAAGTTAAAAACAGAAGTTAAAATTACAAACTTTCAAATTATCAGAATTTCCCTTTACTGGAACCCAAAGAAAAACAGAGAAGTGGAACTATTGGTCTAGCATCTTATGCCTAATGTTTATCAGTTAATGTGACAATTTTTTTGTAACCATTGTTAAAAGTAAATTGAAACCAAAACTTATTATTTGCAGATGTTCTGAAAATTATGCATCATGAAGCAGCTGCTGAGTGAGAAATTAAGCAGACAAGAAACAGTGCACAACTTATTTATCAGGTTAAACTGTTACAAAGTTCTCAGAACAAAATGACCTCAAGAAGTAAGAGAGTGTTTACTGTAAACAACATATCTGGCCAGGTACCTGAAGCTGCAGGAACATCTGTATCACAACAGTCTGCTTTAGAAGTAGGGCAACAGTTAGATGTATCAAAGTTATCAGCATCATCATATACGTTGGAAGATGCATATTGGTCTGATCAGCACAGAAAAATGGGCATAGCTCGTTCCTTACAGCAAGAGCCGGCTTCGGAGGAAGCTTATGTGAAGGTAAGAGTATATAAGTAACCTTTTAATATTACAAGCTTAGAGAAGAATACTTTTCCATTCATTTCGATATTGCGTATTGGTGATCCATACTTTTGAAGACAAGTCAGCACTTGATGGTGATATAGTGACTATCACACTGGCCACCTTGACTTTCTAGAGCATTTCCAAACAACATTTTAGGCTAGGTATGCCTTGGAGCCCAGATCAATTAAAACCAAATCTCTAACTGGATGGGAATTCAAATCTGTGACCTCCACATGTAGGTTCCAGGGCCTCATTTTAAAGTAAAAATAATAAGCTAGCTGTCCCTACCCCCTCCTCCCAACAAGAGTGTCCTAGGAGGTGACTAAGTAAGGGGTGTTTCCTTTGAAGTTGGAGTGCCAGAGAGACAATAAACCAATAGTCTGCACATAATTAAGTCAGGCTTTTAAAATGGATGTGCATGCAAATCTCAAGTTCTAGAACAAGTCTAGCCACCTGCTGAAAGTGTTTCACAAAGCATGAACTTCTGTAGCTCCAGCAAAAGTCTCAAGGAATCTCTAGAAACATTAATTTAATAAGTGGGTGACACAGTCTGGGAAATTAAGTAGACAGTGGTGGAGGTACTGGATCTAGAAAATGCATATTACTAGGTTAGATACGATATTGTACTTACACACTTATGGATATGGAGGTCAGTTCGTGGATCATCAGTTGGATTGCAGCGGTCCTGTATGAATGTCTGACTGCCTTTTTCCTAGGTTCATGGTGCTCAAACCATGTAGTATGGCACCTGGCCTTCCACATGGATCTGCCATTTCTTGTGCTTTTCAATATATACACAAGCAAGATAGTGGCAATAGAGACAGAGAGTGGGTGGTGGGGGGATTTTGACTTTTACATACACATGTCTTAGTCTACAGACAGGTAATAAATATAAACATATAGAGAACTGTTGTCCAATGTAGACAAGGTAAGTGAACTGTGTGAGACAACAGGTTCTATCATCAACCCAGTGGTGTTCATTAAACAATAGAATTTAGAGATGAGCTTCCAGATAACACACTAAATGGCATCAACATAAAGAGAGATAGGTCACTAAATATCTTGGTATAATTTTTACTTTTCAGATTCAAGAGGAACAGATAAAGTTTATCAAGAAACACTTTACACAAAAAGAGTGCAGACGTTTTGTGCCCCAGCCTGATCAGTGTGGAAATGGCAAATCATGCAAAGTGAAAGCATTAAAGTAGGTATCTCATTTTCATTTGCATGTATATAAAAAAAAATTCACTGTAAAGATGTACTGCTAAATATGAATTAATACAGCAAAAGATGTAAGAAATAAATTCACAACTTTTGATTAGCACTCATATAAATCAAGAACACATTTGACACTATAAAAATTAAAAGTGTTATTCACCACAACATAATCTAAATTTACAAAAGACAATAGTGCCTTGTTGAAGGAACAAATTCACTTTGACTTGTTCATTTACAAAGTCCAACAATTAAGTAATGAGACTAATTCCATACAAATTAAAATAATCAACAGTTGAAGGTATAACCTGTATTTTATTCAAAGTAAGCCCCTTACTCATTGACACAGCAAGTGGCATGATCTAACAAACACTGGAACAACCTCTGTAGTTCTTCTGTTGTTATGGCCCCTAAAGTCGATGTTACGGCCCTTTGGATGTCATCAATATCATTAAAGAAGCATCTTTTCAATCGTAACTTTAATTATGGGAATAGAAAATAATAACAGGGAGACAAATCTGGGGAATAGGGTGGAAGGCTGAGAACACACACTTGTTTTTGGGCAAAAAATTCTTGTTTTGATGATGTCTCTTGGGTACTCAACCCGCTGATGTTTTTGGTCATCAGACAACGAATGTGATACAAAACGGTAAGCAACTTTTTTTCTTGATAAAATCCTGCACTAAAATGTTATTAATGGTCTCTCTATTAACCCCAGATTTATCTGCATCATCCTCACAGTAAAACAATGATCTTCTTTTATTTGTTCTCTGACGTTTGCAACGAGTTCATCATTACGAACATAAATTTGGCGTCTAGGCCTAGGTGCAGTAGTAATCATTTGCACACCACTTTTGAATCGTGAATCCCCATAAACTTGTAGCATCAATTCAAATGATTCAGTAGCGCTTTTTGTGTGTTTTAAAATGAATTTATTGTTAGCTTTTTGCTCTGTGCTGATTACGTAACAATGCACCTTTGACTAGGTCAACAAAATGGCGGCTTGTTTGTTGTCTGATTATCGAGTGACGATGAAAATTTGCCAGATCATAGATAAATGTTGCCTCTTTAGATTTCATGCTTTGCTACATAAATAAAATTTTTGTCTTGGCCATAATAAAATCAGTCTCATTACTTAATTGTTGGACCTTGTATATTCCATGCTGTTTTAATGGCCTGAAGTTCAAACAGTTGATATTTCTGTGCATTTCAAGATAAAATACAAATGGGCTATATGCAAAACATTTTGAAATTAGAATATCATATAAGTTATTTCAGTTATGTTTGAAACAGAAATGACAGTAAAAAATCAGACAGTGGCTCTTATCAAGGTTCCCCCCAAAAAATAAGGTCTTTACTGAAGGCAGCTTCAGAAAAGTTATTATAATTTGTTTATTGCCTATACATCAAGAAGAATGCAATAATTTGCTTGACATTTTCTTCATACTGGTTCCCTTTATCAGCTATAAATGTTTTCTAACAATCATGCCGCTGTTAGAAACGTCTATGGAATGGATTTCTTGAAACCACTCTTAACTGCACTGTTACTTTGGTGTTAACAGCCTCAGCTTCTTTGAATTGCTAGCCTAGAGAATGAAAAATAAACAATATGGTGCCAGATGAGAAAAATGCTACGTGTTGGTTGTGATGTTGGGAGCGTGAGTATTGCCTAATGCATCACTATGTGATGATTTGGTTTTACAAAAAAATTCTTAAAATACATTGGACAGTCAAAAAGAGCAACCAAGAGGTTTTGGAAGATGTGGAAGCCCAAAGACAACTAACACAAACATCAGATGGAGACAGCCATCATTTTTTTGCCATGTTATGAGAAGGATCTGTGGAAGGAGGGATAGAGGAAGACAAGCAGAGAAGATACTTGACAGTCTTGTTGCATGGCATGGAGGTGTGTCAGCACACAAACTGATACATGATGCAGGAGATTGCAGCTTGTGGAGAGGCATGGTTGCCCAAGCCAGTCAGCAAGGCACCTGATAAATGCATCACTGCGTAACAAATTCTTATTTTTAAGTCGAAACGAGGAAGTCTCTGTGTTAAAGAGGTCAAGTCATTTGCCTTACACTCAAGGTTGATGGGTAATTTCTCAGACTGCATATTTTGGTTTATGAGTGCAATGTTTACATAGATCCCTAGGGATCATCACTGAAGCTATGAGTTCATGCTTTGTACAATACTTTCAGCAGGCTAGCCATTCTGCAGAAAGAAACCAATGTTTACTGAGTAAATCTGTAATGGAAATTTCAGTCTTCTTGATTTTGCTTTATAGTACGTGAAGTTTAAACTCGGTGGATGAAGCAAAATAAAACAATGACATATTAGCCAAAAGTGTATACAGATGCTGAAAGTATAAGCAGAAGCTGAAAGTATATACAGAAGCTGAAAGTGTACGCTGGAGCATAAAATATATGCAGAAACTGAAAAGTTTATACGGTAGCTAAAAATGTATTATGAAAAAAAAAATGTATGCAGGGTGAGTATTGCAGTTTACAATTTTTAGTATTTGCATAAAGTATGGAAAAATGACTACAAATTGTTTTGCTTTTTATTTTTAATATTCTGAAAATATTGATAAATATAGCCGAAGTTATTGTTATATTTAATTGATACTTTTAAAGAATAACTGTAGAATATTAATTTAATTTTCAATGATTTTCAAAGATGTCACTGTGGTGAAAACTTGTCTGTGCATTTTGAGAACGGCTCAACTATACCAGAAGGTAAAATTTCTCCTGCAATACTTTTTAACTTATTTGCTCAGTTTGTAAGTTTGAGGACAGTTTTCTCTAAATTAATATGTTTGTATTTGGGGTTTTTCTTCTTTCAGGAACCCTTCCCTTCTGACCATATGGTCATAGATTTGAATCCCTATTGGGGCAGTTTTTAATAACTGACCTAATCTCCCAGTTTACCTGGCCTAAAGTGGTACCAGGAAATTTCCTGGAAAGTAAAGGCCCTAATCATATCACTTATTGAGTTGATTTGTAACAATACAGAGCTATCACCATATCGTTGTCATCATCATCATCATCATCTTGTTGCTGTTGTACTGTTTATATATACACATAGAGCTCAGTCAATTCCTATTTGGTTCTATCCTGTGCAATTCCCATTTGGTTCTATTCTGTGAAATTCCCATTTGTTCTATTCTGTGCAATTCCCATTTGGTTCTATCCTGTGCAATTCCCATTTGGTTCTATCCTGTGCAATTCCCATTTGGTTCTATCCTGTGAAATTCCCATTTGGTTCTATCCTGTGCAATTCCTGTTTGGTTCTATCCTGTGCAATTCCCATTTGGTTCTATCCTGTGCAATTCCCATTTGGTTCTATCCTGTGCAGTTCCTGTTTGGTTCTATCCTGTGCAGTTCTCGTTTGGTTCTATCCTGTGCAGTTCTCGTTTGGTTCTATCCTGTGCAATTTCCATTTGGTTCTATCCTGTGCAATTCCCATTTGGTTCTATCCTGTGCAGTTCTCATTTGGTTCTATCCTGTGCAACTCCCATTTGGTTCTGTCCTGTGCAATTCCCATTTGGTTCTATTCTGTGCAATCCGTTTAATATCATGAATGGAGTCCACCCCAGCATCAAAAGCCTGTCTCATCAACATTCATTTATGGGTGGGGGAGGGGGGTGGGGGGGGGGAGGGAAATCATTGTTTGCTCATTTTATTTGTAACGCTGCATTTCAATTCAGAACACATGTGGAATTTAATATTTACATTTTACTGTGAAGTAAATAATATATAAATTTATACATTTGTATTTCAAAACAGTTGAGAAATATATAATTGTTTGAACATTAACACCAATTTCTAAATGCACTATAGTTGTGGCCTGCTAGATAAATGTTTCCATGACAGAAGAGTCACAATAGTAATGACTGGAATAGATAAAAACTGTATTGATGTTCACAGAATATATCTCACTGGCTAGACGTTTAGAAGATATTCTCACTGAAACTCTGCCAGCTCCTAAAGTTAAATGGAGTGCTAAAGACGATTTCACCAAAAGTGTAACAAATGCCTTTGGAAAAATTGATTTTAATATTGAACAGATTGGAGGAAAGAAACCAGCCAAGGTAATTTATCATGTTTAGAAGAAATTAACAAGAAAAATTAAGCGATGTTTGTATTTTAGCTTCTATTTTATCCATTTCTTCAACTGGGTCTTGTTCTTTCCCTTATCAAACCTCTCTGTCTCATTCTTTCTGTCTGTCTGTTTGTCAGACTCTATGTATCTCTGTCACTTTATCTCTTCCTACTTAGAGAAAGTCTTTCAGATTAGCAGAGATCGCATACTGTGGGCACTCAAAGCTTATAGGAGAAAAGGTTTATTTTTAATCAGGTTTTCACTGGTGCTATCATTAACTAGAACTTTTCTTTGAGGAGCAGCTAGCCGGGTGGTTACAATGTCAGGCTCTCATGGAGGAGACCTGGTAAGGTCATGGAGTTTTTCTGTCAGGGGCAGAATTAAACATCCTAACCTGCACAGTCCATGGCAACAGCACTAGCCATGCACCATAAATCCTCAGGCTCACGACCCCCTTGTCTATACCGCCTAAAAAAATTGGTAAAACGAACAGTAGTGAAGTTTCTTTTTCTTCTTTGGCTGTTGAAGAAGGAAACGGAACATATGTGGGGATATTCCAAGTGAAGTGATGTTAGTTCCTAATTCATTTATTTGCTGTGGGCAGTAAATGGTGGCCAGACATGGTCACTCACAACAAACCATAAAAGAAAATTAGTAACCATGGAAATGAGATGTCTGAGAAGGGCAGTAGGAGTGACCATAAGAGATAAGATCAGGAATGAGATCATAAGAGAAAACCAATTCTAAATTACATACAAACATAGCAAGTGAAATGGTTTGCCCACTTAGAGAGAATACCTTGTGACACCATACCATACAAAGCATACATGGAAAAAGAAGAAGGTCGTAGAGCAAGAGGTAGACCAAGAACAAGATGGAAGGATAACATCAGAGAAGCTCTACAACAGTACGATGTGCCTATGGTCGAGGCGGCCAGAAGAGCCAGAAACAGAACCTTATATCTCCCTTGACACCCACAGCGGTAAAAGAGGAAGTGAAGAAGAAGAAGAAGAAGTAAATGGTGACTTGACGCATGGTAAAATACCGGAATTAATTTTCTCAATTATGAATGCTGAAGTTAGAGATTTAAATATGGAACTATCTATGGTGACTGCAGTAGAGAATAACAGCAATGAGCAGCTGACAAGCTTGCATATGGACCTTCAGTGTCTGCTACCTTTAACTTCTCTTAGTGAACCAATGGAGACTAAGTGGTTATTGGTATATCCTGAGTACAGTAGCATTGATCCTTCCTCACAGTAATTTTCTTCTCCCATCTTCCTTTATGAGCCACTATGGTTTACTAGCTAGATGCTCGCTTCAGACTCGAAGGTTTATATTCAAATCTGCATTAAGTCTCTTTCATTCCAAGATTGAATTTAGCTCCCAGGTACCAGATAAAGTTTTTAGATGTGAAGGCTGCTTATGTGATGTTGGCCACATCACCCATCAAGCGTCGATTGGTCTTGAAAATATAGGTATAGCACTATAAACCACATATGCCTAAGGACGTGAAAAGAAATGTCCTCTGCTTTACTTTTCTTTACTTCACTTTCAGTATAGTTAAGGTAAGGTCCTGTTTTGTTAGATCTGCTGTGTATGTTTTGAGCAAGTTTATTCAGTTTTTTTGTTGTTGTTTATTTCATTTAAACAATTTTAGTATGTCAGACTTAGTTCTGATGACAGTGTTGATGATTGTCTGGAGCTGATGAAAAAATTCTGGTACTTCATGGAACCAGAGCCACCCAAACTGGTTATTTCAGTCGTTGGTGGTGCCAAAAACTTCAAGCTGGATGGTCGCAACAGATCCATATTCTCTACTGGGTTGATTAAGGTACTGTTTACGTTTGATTTATTTCTGATTTAATTCTTTTCTTTTCAGCTGATTGCTGGCCAGTTTTTCTTGTGATAATAAATAGTGAGATACATAATCTAGTTATATTAATCAAGTCTGACAATAAATTGCAGTAATGGTTATAGAAAAATGGATGTGAACATAAAATATACTTTACATTGCAAATCCAGTTGTTATACAGTAATTACTTTTTATTTGTTGAATTTGATGAAGAAGTGCAAAACTCAAGACCTGAAACAAAACAAAACTCCTTTAGTAGATAAACAACCAGAACTGTCTTCTGGAGTTTACAGCCAATTAATATAAAGAAAAAGAAGATGATGAAATATTATTATTTGAAATACATATTCTCCCTTGGATTCCGGGACCCCATTGAGGGAAAAACAGAGTGAACTCACTGCCTCCCTAACAAGCACATTATAAGAGTCGACTAATTTGGGGTTTTCTTTGAAGTTGGAGTGCATCTGCCTGGTAGTCAAGGAGCCAAGAGTCTGCAAAATAATAAACCAGATCTATAAAGCTGATGTACACACTAAGTTCTGTAACAAAAGTCCAGAAGTGCACAACAACCAAAACTTTGTGCTGGAGTTTACAGCCGGTGAATTCAAAGAAGAAGAAGATTTAAACTATGTATGAGAACTAAGGAAGTTTACAACATTATATTTATGTAATTGAATTATGAATAATACATAAATTGTTTGATGCATATAATGAAATGACAATAGCAAATGTGAGGTATGAGTATGACAAAATAAAAATCTGGTAATCTGGTAATTTTAGTTTTAGCTTCATAGCAAACACACAAAAAAACACACAATAGCACAGGTAGACTTTTTTTAAGTATAAAATGCATGTTCTCAGAATTAATATAATTATTTAAAAAGATCTGACCTAGAGAGACATGACAGGAACAAAAAATATGCAAAAAATGAGGGAGTGAGAGACATTCTACCCCATTAGGACTGCACAAAATGCCACTACTAATGTTGTAAACTACCTTAATTCTCATACATATTTTAAATCTTCTTCTTCTTTGCATTCACCGGCTGTAAATTTAGGAACAAAGTTATGTTTGTTCGAGCACTTATGGACTTTTATTACAGAACTTAGTGTGCACATCCGCTTTACAGATCTGGCGAGGTTTAAAATAACACACAAAAAAAACAACTGCTTCCCATTTTGGCGCACAGTTATTCAAATGCAAGAAGTAGTAAAAGTAGTAGTAGGAGAAAGAGTGAAAGATGAATCTGCAGTGTGGATAATTAGTCACCTTTACTACTCCCTGATATAAAGTAAAGTAAAAAGAAAGTAAAGATCCCTTGTCACACTTTTAGGTGCATCGGTTATATGGGAAGGGCGCACATTTTTTTTCAGACCTTTGGAACTAGGTGGGTAATGTGGACAGCCATCCTGGTACCCATTTTAGGCTGGGTCGACCTGCAATGCCCCATACCACGATAAAAATCCACGCAGCCAGCAGTGGGTTTGGATCGCGGTACATTGGAACTGGCAACGCCTTATACCAGGGACACCGCTCCCTCATATAAACAGACACAAATATTTACTTGTGGGTCATTTGAGTCCTATAAGGGAAGCATCACTACCAGTTATCCATCAGTGTTCCATATCCTTGATAATACATACAATTATACAAATATTCAGTAGCCCATCAGTTCTTTCATGTTCCAAGCCGAAGATAAGTTTGGATATCAAGGATACTCTTCCTTTCCATTTGCTTTCAATTATCTCCCTTTAGGGTCACTCTTTAAATTGGGTCATGAAGATGAAGTACAAAAACCAGGCACTGCTTGTTACTTCACAGCCGATAAAAGTATTTCTTTATGTCTTGCATGTGTGTTTATTATCTCTTGCATTAAAAAAAAAAATTTTTTTTAATTGTAAATATGCCAGATTTCATGTCTGCTTAAAAGCCTGGATCTTTCAATCAATTTTGCTGCTATGTTTTTCACATTTTTATTGAGTAGAGATCAAGCTATTTGTTTACTTAGATCTTCATGGGGAAGTTAATGTTACTTCTCCAGATTGCATTCAGACTTACAAGACTATATATATTACAGGGCTATTTGTTACATATTCTTCTTCTTCTTCTTCAGCATTCCAAGCCCTTAAGGTTCATTGCTGCAGATATCACCAACCTCCACTCATCTCTCTGATTGGCCTTCTCTTTCCAGTATGTAACTCCAAGTGTTTGCAGGTCTTTCTGGATATTATCTCTCTATAGTTTTCTTGGTCTCCCTCGTGGTGTACGACTATTCGTCTTCCTGGTGTATACAGTTTTACTTCTCTGTCATCTGATATTCTTTCAATATGCCTCAGTCTATTAGCTGTCATAATGCCAGTGATTAGTGGTGATTTGAAAAGATTATGAATTTCATATTAAATATAGTTTTCAATAAATATTTAACATTACTGGCACGGTGAGTTCTAAAACTTTAATAAGTACGTACGCATTCTGTACTCTCAGGCTGCCAAAACTACCAAAGCATGGCTGATCACTTCTGGATTTAACATGGGTGTCATGAAGTCTGTAGGGCAGGCTGTACATGAAGGACAATCATTTCAGTGGAGCAATGACCGGGTATCTCATGTCCTTCGCTGCATAGGCATTGCTCCTTGGGGTTATGTCAAGGACAGGCAGTGCTTAGAAAGTGATGGAAATGTAAGAACTTAATTCATTTCTTTGAATTGGTTGAAAGCTACTAAGTTTTAACAAAAAATAATTTTACATAAAAAGTCATAAAGATGTATGCAGTGGGACACGAACAATACAGCTACTGGGGTTGATTTGTGGGGACAAAATACCATGGGTCGTTTTGACTGGAGTGGCTAAATCAGGAAGGGAATAGGGAAAAAAATCCAGAAAGGGGGAGAGAAGAGCATCTGAGAAGAAACACGCTAAGTACATGTAATGGCAACAGTAGGTCTGAAATCCTATGCTCTAATTGTGGAAGACCTTTGTTAATGCAGGTGGGTTTGCTAGTGACATTCACCATTGCCGTGGACTGTGATTTCCATGCCTCCCCATAGCACAATACAACACTGTCATCTAGAAAAACAGAAAGGTGCCAAAAAGTGTTCTCATCATCACCTTGAACAAGGTCCGTTAAAGACTGGTTGGTCACTTCATGGCTTGCTAGAATTTCCGCCATGGCCAAGTCCTCTGATATTTATTTTAATGCTGTAAGTGTCTCTAATGTCCTTTGTCCACCTTCATGCTGGTCAGCCCTGCCTCTTCTTTTTAGGACAGGCAATATATATTAGCAGTGTTCACTGCCTGCTACCTGCATTCATGTAATTTATTATTCAGGGAAGATAGTAACTGTTACCTGTGATATGGCCACTACCTTGCATAAATGATATTCGTGGAACCATACTATAGAAAGGTTTAGAACTGCATACAGGAAAATACTTCCAAGGCAGACAAAAAAAACATTTCAAGGACACTCTAAAAATGTAACTGAAGACTTTAAGTCTTGATCCATCCTGATAAATGGGAGGTCGCTGCACATGACTATTCATCATGGCACTCATCTGTTTGTCAGTTAAATGCAGCTTGTGAAGCAGTCAGAACAACAACAAGATGTGAAAGTTTTTCCAGCAGGTTTATCTAGCAGTCCATAACTAGACCCCATTCTACTCCACGTATTTATTCACACAGTAGTTCATTTATGAAACCATATTTAATTATAATGGCATAGCCATAAGGTGCTCAACATATTTTGTAAATATAAAAACAGCATAACTGAAGTTTTTTTTTGGTATATACTGTAATAACTGTTGTGACAACAGTTGCTAGCATAACCGTCTACCACCCTGATAAGCACATGTTTGAATCTTCCTTGATCAAAGATTTACTAAAACAACAATTGCATTGGCTTCCATTTAGATCTAGCCTTTAATGTTTGCAAGGAAATGTTCCAAAAAGAAAAGGTGACTGGCACAGAGTTGATTACATTTCCCACTGAGCATTGATTGATCTATAAAAATTCAAGGTTAGCATCATATACCTTATAGTTTACTTTCTTCTTCATACGCTCTTTATCCCCAAATGGAATATAGGTCCTCAATCCAAGTCATCCTATCCTGTGCCATCGTATACAGCTCCATGGTTATTTGGTTTCTGTGCTATTGTTGTTTTTACAGAATGAGGCAGCCAACCCCAACCCTCCTCGTCTTAGCTGCCTCTTGCAACATTCCTGGTAGGGTGCACTGTTATTATTCTTTGCTTCCCGTGAGAGCCCTGATAACACACATTGTGAATACTTTACTTTTATTTTTTTGTTTTTTGTTTTGTTCAGGCGCAAGCAATTCACCATGTTTGTTCAGCTTATGTCTGTGTCCTTTTCCCCACCTTTAGGCATATAGGGCTAGTCCTACATTTTATAGACCAGTCGGCACAAGATGGGTGATGTGGTCAGCGTCACGCCGATGCAACATATGGTGTGTTATTATTTATTTCATGGTTGGTCTGAGTATGCAAAAGAAATCTGGACAAGTATTTTAAATAAGGCACAGTAAATGTTGTGTCTTTGAAAGACTATGTGTCTCAAAATGGCACATTGTGTGTTATTATTTATTTCATGTTTGGACTGAGTAAGCAAAAGAAATCTGGACAAATATCTTTAATGAAGCACAGTATATGTTGTATCTTTGAAAGTCTTACTCAGATGCCCTTTTCACTGTGATTATTGTGTCAAATTTGCTTTCTACTTTGAAACCACCTGGAACTGAAACAGTTAATACCATGTTTAGTAAAAAGTTCACAATCCACTGTTTTCACATCCAGGGTAAATTTAATGCACACTATCGCTCAAGTACAGTGATTGAGCACAAGCAGCCAGTTCCACTCAACCCAGATCACACTCACTTCATCTTTGTTGACGATGGGTACAGAGCTCGTTATGGGGGAGTGGCCAAATTTCGGTCTGGGTTTGAGAAAAAAATAGCACAGGACACAGGTACTGTTTATGTCTGTGAGTGTGTGCTTATGCTTGTGTGTGCATGCATGTTTTGCTTTTGTGTCTATATGTGTTATATATGTTTTTACAGTTTTTCATGTGATCCATGTAACTTGATTCTGCATTATCTAATCTCTATTTTCAGAGGGGGGAAAAGTGCCAAAAATATATGCCAGATGCTGTAATAAAGTGTTTGTTCGAGATAAATCCAGTTTTTAAAAAGTTAAATTGAGTTAAATGTTGTCTAGGTATCTAAGTAATGGTGGGAACTACTGGGGCATACCAGCTGGAAGCTCACCTGCCAGTCAGAAGCTAGTGGATTCACATCCTGATGGAGCTAGACATTTTCCCCCCAAAGAAAAGACCTTGCCTGCTAGGTTGACCTAGCCTTAAATAAGTAACAGATAAAGCCATGGAAAGTAAATGAGGCTAGCGTGATGCTGACCACATTACCTACCAAATGCCGATTGGTCTATAAAATATAGAGCTAGCCCTATATGCCTGAAGGCGCGGAAGAGGGTCCTTTGCTGCTACTGTATGTTTAATACACCTGCAGACGTAGAAAAGGATCCTTTAGGTAATGGTAGTGCAGAGGTGGATATTGTTTGTTGTAACTAAAATGTTGAATTCATTTGCATCCCCTCCTTTAAAAAAAAAAAAACTTTGTTTCCCCCTTATTTATATAGGTGTTTGTGCTATTTCAGGCATTTTGTGAGGTCATTTTATGAGTTGGAATTGGTTGATCTTGTATTGTATATCATTTTGAAATTAAATACCTTTCCTTGTTAGTAAGTAAATACATTTTCAACTTGTATACTTCACTTCTGTTCACATGAAGATGGTGGTTTGGGAATTCCTGTTGTCCTTCTTCTGGTAGAAGGAGGCACAGATGCCATTCAGGATGTGAGTGCATCACTTAGTCAAGGAATCCCTGTGGTTGTGTGTGCAGGCACAGGTCGCGCTGCTGATATCATAGCGTATGCTTTCAACCACACAGTAACAGTCAACAGGTGAGTGAATTGATCGTTATTTGTTTATTCAGTCACTAGTTTTCAATGGGACAGGGACAAGCATTTTGTGTGCATGAGAATAAACTCCACAGGGGAGCATGTACAGCAGGAGTCTACCAATCATCAGTAGAAGAAACCTCTTGTCGACAAATGTTTCGGCCCACGAGCTCCTAGACATTTTCAGAGAGTGGGCCCCCCTGAGTTCAAGAGGCTCGGGGTTGATTTCCCCTGCTGCGCGTATTACCGGATGTTATTCAGACAGGAACAAGACGAATTGGTGACTTTGCAAAAGGTACTGTGAGATAAGAAGTTGTTGTGGTAGCGTAATTAGAGCAGTCTGCATACCTGGACGACCAAGTGGCAAGCTTACGATTGGTTTACCGGACACATGCATAGAACAGAGCAATTGTTGAAACTTCAGCTACTGCTACTATACAGTCACCCTTGTCTGTGAGATGGGAACAAAGTAAAATTGCTGTCTTTTATGTTTTCACCTTGAAGTCTTCTTCTTCCCGTTCACTGGCTGTAAACTCCAACGAAAAGTTCTGGTTGTTTGTCCACTTCTGGACTCTAGCCCGATTCCTGAACCTGAGTATTCCAGGCACATCCATTTCTCAGGTCTGACTCATTTGTGTGCAGACTGTTGGTTCCTTGCCTCTCAGGCAGATGTACTCCACCTTTGAAGGAAGCTTCCAATTAGTCGACTTTTACGACATGCTTTTATGTAAAAAGCGGGTCTGTTCTTGTTTTCCTCACAGGGGGCCCTGGAACCCACATTGGGACACCTTGAAGTAATAGATAGCTTTGCATGTTTCAGTGGTCCCTAATGCTTTGCTGGCAGTAGTGTTGCAACTGCTAAGGTCCTCCATGTTGGACACACAAAGAATAGGAACCACATGTGGAGAGAGACAAACATCCTGCATTGTAGATAGACCTGAGACGGTAAAATTCTTAATAAAGCAGACCTGACAAAATGGTTGTCAAAATTGGGTAAACTGAGTCACAGGTTTGATGAAACAGTATAGTACAGCTTCTCATGGTGACTTTCTTTATATCATCTCTCTTCTACAAAAACAAATTCCCAAATTGAAGCTCCTTATTGTAAACAGCAGGCATGTAAAAATGTGATAAATGTGGCCGTGAACTGAATATCAGCAGAGTGCTTCCGCATATCACCAGAGGAGGGCACAAACTTGTCCTGACATTTTAAAATTTCGAAGAAAGATGAAGGTCACAAGTCACCCAGTAAGTGTGAAAGGCAATGTGGAAAACCAATTTATCTTTCTTAACCCCCTTCCCCCATAGTATGTTTATGAGCAGATAACATTTGGAATTTAGGTGTGGCAAATAAAAAAACTACTAGTCTTTGAACTCATTAACCTGATGGGACATGATTTTAGAAACTATTGAAGAAAATTTCAGCAAGATCATGGCTTAGCACAGCTGTGAGCTGGACTGCTTGCTTCATAACTTTTGGATTAGAGGACACACCATTCATCACACTAAAAACTTATGGAGAAACCTACCAACTCGGCTATTTAATTACATAAATACCTTTACCCCTTTTGGCCTGAGAAGGCTAAATCTAGTCACTTTTAGTTGTGATACAACCCCCTAAATTCCGATATATGACTATTTCTGCAGTGAACCTGTTCTCGAAAGGTGTAGTTAAATACCATTGACTTTATTTGTTTGTGTAGTGTTTAAGAGGCCTGAATATAAATATATTAACTAAACATATAGCATTTAGGGGGTTCCCTTGTGACCGTAATGGCTTTTGAAAAGTGTGGTTGACTGAAACTTTTCCCATAAGCCTCAGTGGTAGAGGCCATACAGTTTTGGCATGAGTCACCTGATACATATTATTTTTGGCCCCGGAGAATGCATTCCATGTGATGCTTCACTGTGTTCTTGTTTATTCATTACTATCTCTATAAATTGTTATTGTGGATAAATACATTTTTTAAATAATTTATTAGTTACCTATGTGAAGTAGTTGTTTTTTAAGGATTTGTTTTCTGAAAGTTCCCACTGGTGTATGATCCATTTATTTTAGCATTCTGGGGGTAAAAGGGTTAACATGCTAGAATTTTAAATTGTGCTTTTTCCATAACCAAACAAAGCTGGCTGTGTCTGGAAGTAAAAACAAAGACAACATTTGGAGGGTGTTAATTGATTTGATAGTAAGGTGTCACTGTTTTACCATTATTTCTTTTTGAGTATGCAGTCTACATGAAAGAAACATACATCAACATGAAACAACTATTGCCTACTTTTAGCTAGTTTTGGTTACTTACCGTTGTAGTTTTTGATAAATAAAATAATTTTTGAATTTCTTCTGTTGAGATCTATCTCTTTATTTCACTCTTGACATTTTAATGTTTATGCATTTCACAAACTTTTGTTTATTTGTTTGTTTGGACAGCAAGCAGCGAACAATGTCAGAAAACAACAGAGAAAAGCTAAAACAAAAGATAGCCCAGACTTACAAGCCAAAAGATGAGGAACTTGAAAATCTGACAGCAAATGTCATAAAATCCTGTCAACAAGAGGATTTGGTTTGTGTTAAACAATTTTTGAATAAATTGCATTTGATACTATCAGCTTCTCTGAACACCTAAAGTAAAAAATTATCAAAAACTATTGAAATGAAATTGTTGATCAGTAAAATTGCTAAAGTTATGGATTTGGATCTTGTCATTTTCAAGAAGCTGCCATTAATCTCTTTAAAGATCTTTTGACATGAATTAGCTTTCTTGTGTAGGTTTTAGGGCTGCAGTGTGTGGGTGTGTGTGAGAAGGGGGGGGGGAGGGTGATACTAAACCTACTGTACCTTAGGAAGCATGTTATATGTTGAATTAAGAATCAACAACATAGCATTCGGGACACTTCCATAAGCGCTCTGTTCCCATCTTCAGCAGCAAGCAAAGAGTGCCAGTTCCGATGGTACCAGTAACTGTCTGATGGTATATCTGTCTTGCTTTTCCCTTGAGTGTCGAGCGTCGGCAAGATCGCCTGGTAACTGCTAAGCATGTTGTAAAAGGTGACTAATGAAGGGTTTTCTGGAATTGGATATGTTCGGCTGAAAAGTGCAGATATCACAACCAAGCTGTAAACCACAACACAATGGGCCAACTCCCATTATAAGGGCAAACGCAGAAGAAGAGGAAGATCAAGAAGAAGAAGAAGAAGGAAAAGAAGAACAAGAAGGATTAGTTAATGTCTATACCCTAATTACATTTTAAAAAATAAATGATTATTACTGCTACATTGACTTCCACTTGACTTGCTACATTGACTTCCACTTGACTTGCTACATTGACTTCCACTTGACTTGCTACATTGACTTCCACTTGACTTGCTACATTGACTTACTTCCACTTGACTTGCTACATTGACTTCCACTTGACTTGCTACATTGACTTCCACTTGACTTGCTACATTGACTTCCACTTGACTTGCTACATTGACTTCCACTTGACTTCTGCACATTTATTTTCATGTGACTAGTACGATTAATGTCGGCTCTGTGGCTAAGTCGATGCGAAGGCTTCGTAATACTGGGCATGCCGGGTTTGATCCCAGCTGCGGGCCATGCGCCTTGCATTGGTTTCGACAGTGGTATCAAGAAAGCCGACCGTCCAGAAAGCAATGGCAAACTACTGGACGTAAATTTGCCTAGAAAAATCACACAACAGCCAGGGGCAGTTGGGGTTGGTTCTGCAACGTCCTGTAAAGGATACGCAACTAACCTAGTACGATTAATGCTGTCAAAATACCCTGGCTTTATAATTAACAACAATGGAATCTGGTCTAGCTCCATTGGCTTCTCTCATCAATGTTTGTCTAAGTGTTTATCTTGGATATCCTCTTTCAGAAGTGTCCTCCTCTGTGACAGAAACTCACAGAAAAGTAGCTCACTACATATAAGATAGATTTTATTTTGTGGAATGGAAATATTCCTAGTTTTTACAAGACAATATAATATTATTCTGCTTTTTTGGTTTGGTTTGTTTTCAGATCGTGATCTTTTAACATGAAGAAACATGAAGAGCTTGATCTGGCCATTTTGTCTGTTTTGCTGAAAGGTACTTATCCTGGCTGTAAATCATCATTATTATCATTATCATCTTCATCACCACCACCATCGTCATCACCTCTACACCACTGATCATCGCAGTAGACATCTTTGCTTTCCATGATATTTCTTTATACCCTTGTTATGCTGGATGCTGATCCAAACCTAAGACATGTTTTTGTTTCTGCAGGGAAGACTAACTCCTCTCTTGCATCTCAGTTAATGCTTGCCATGACCTGGAATAGAGCTGATATTGCACAGGAGGAAATCTTCAGAGAAGATGTCAACTGGAGTGAGGGTAAATTATTACAACTGTCATTTTCATAATCTGTTTAAAGTGTGTGTGCATGCTTATTGGTCTGCCTGCATAACTACCTGCTTGAATGTCTGCCGGATTGTCTCTGTTTTTCTGTTTGTCTGCCTGCCTGCTTACCTGCCTGCCTGTCCACCTGCCTGCCTATCAGAACTGTTGAAAGCTAGTTACCCATCTATCAGTCTGTAATATATGACTAAACATTACACAATATTGACGCTTACCTTTGCAACAGATTCAGAAATACTTAAATATAAAGTTTTAATGATCTTTCCTATCTAAACTATTTATTTAAATATTTCATTGGAAAAAAATAACAGTGCAAATGTTGAGTAAAAAAAAAAGTAAAGATCCCTTTTCACGCCTTTCGGCGCATCGGGCATATGGGCAGAGCGTCCCATATTTGTACAGACCATCAGCACTCTGTGGGTAATGTGGTCAGCATTATGCCGGCTGTCTTTACTTTCCCAGGACAGCCCATCCTGGTACCCATTTTAGGCTGGGTCGACCTGCGACGTCCCATACTCCGACAAAATCCACGCAGCCTGCAGTGGGTTTCGATCGCGGTATGCTGGCTTACGAGTCGGACTCGCAACGCCTTAGCCACGGACGCCGCGCAAATGTTAAGACTGCATGTATTTTATCTGATTAAAATTCACTGTTGTATCTTTAAGTATTTAAACAACACTGTTTTTAATTTTGCTCCAACAAATATTAATTTCCTAATTTAGAAAGCTTGGAAAGCTTTTTAACCACAGCCCTGATAGAAGACAAAATTGAGTTTGTCAAGCTGCTACTAAACAATGGAATCATTATGCAAGAGTATCTGACAACACAGCGCCTGGAGACTTTGTACAACTCGGTAAAACTCACTTTATAACAATAACATTTCTTAACTGTTTTCTTTTTCTTCATCACATTCATTGGCTGTGAATTCTGGTGGAAAGTTCTGGTTGTTCATCCAATTATGGACTTTAGTCTTGCTCCAGAACTTGAGTTTTGCATGAACATCTCTTTTACAAGTCTGGCTTATTTGTAAGCAGATTGTTGGTTCCTCGCCTGTCAAGCAGGTGACCCTGACTTTAAAAAAACACAGCTAATCTGTATATTTTTACAACATGCTTGTTAGAGGGACAGTGGATCTATTCTTTGTTTCTCTTCCCCTCACCCATTCATGGGGCCTCAGAACCCACACTGGTACCCTAACCATTATAGTATCAAGCAGCTTGGTATAGGTTTATTTATTACACTGTACATGGGCAATTTTCCCCCTTCTTCTTGTGGCTCATTCTTTTATATAATCTCTGTCTCTCAGTGCGGAGGAGCAGAAAGATCATTACAGTCTAAGGAGAATGGCACTGTGACGAGTTACCAGGGCATCTGGCTGACACTTAACACTCAGGGGAAGGATGAGACAGATATACAATCAGACTGTTACTGGTACTATTGGAATTGGATCTCTTTGCTTGCTGCTGAAGACGGGGACTTAGCACTTATGGGAGTGTCCCGAGTACTGTGATGTCGCTTCTTAATTCAACATTCTCTAATATTACTTTAACTGACTCTATCTCAGATTGATGGAGATTAGATAGAGACAGGTATGCTATGTACAAAGTGACAAATAACACTTCAGTAGTCAGCATTCTTTGGATATTTTCTCTAGGGTATGCACGATTGTTGGAAATGAACAGACAGACAGGTTGACTGGTTCTACACCAATGGGTGGTGAAGTTATGCATGACAAGCTAGATGTGGTAAAGGCCATTTGGAAACAAGTGAAAAAAAAATGTGGAGGTAGGATGAGATCATTATGGTCTGGAGAGAATGCTAGGAATTATCAATGGATCTGGTTGACACTCAACATTCAGAGGAGAAATTGAAACTCTTTACTGGCTACTGAAGATGAGGACGAAGTGCTTATGGGAATGTTCCGAATGGTGTGATGTCAGTTCTAAGCTTGACACTCTATCTTGTATATGTATCATGTTACTTATTAAGAGCAGATATAATTCAAAGATTGCTATACTATATCAAAGTCCTGAGATAGAAAGTATGATATTTTACAGAACCAAATCATTGAGATTGAAAGAACATTATTCTGCTGTACGAAAGATTTGAAAACAAAAGTAGTGAAGTTTAAATTCGGCAACTAAAAGTGTTTCAGTCCTAGGTATCAGGCAATTTTCTGGGATGTAAATTCAGCCACTATGATGGTAGTGACCAGACCACCCACTGAGCGCCAGTTAGCTTAACAATATGGGACTACCATCAAATACCTAGTTTGCCTCATAGAATGAGCCTGAGGATTTACGGCTTCTCTGCTAGTGCTGTTGCCACGACTGTGCAGGTGAGGATTTTATTTTGCCCCCGAAAAAAAAAAAAAAATCCCCGGCTTTACCGAGGATTTAAACCCATGTCCCACTTGTGAGAGCCTAGCATTCTAACCGTTTGGCCAGACGCTCCTCCATGGTACAGAATTTTTTAAAATTATCTATAACAGAATAAACTAAGGTAAAACACACAATACATTTTTCATGAGATTTGCAAATGAAGAATTATGTTATTTAATAACTTGTATTTGTATTACTTTAACTGTATACTTCCCAGATTCCAGAGCACTTTTACTTACATCAGATTTTGAAAACATCAGCAAATTCTAAGACAGGACCGTTTACTGTGAAAGACATCAGTAACTTTCTCCAGGACTTGCTCGACAGATATGATGATGATGAGCTGGTGGGCAATCAGAAGGGGCCAAAACTCTTCAGGAATCCGTACAAACAGTTACTTATCTGGGCAGTGCTTATGAACAGGTATCTGTTCACACCAACATTGATTATTTTGAACAGACTTTTATTTTTGAACTAATTTATTAAATTTGTTTGACTTCTTTAAAAAAAAAAAAAAGTCAGTGGTGAGAAAACATTTATTCAGATCATAAGAAAACATTTTATAAAAATGTTTTTATGACAAGACTAAGATGAACTATATTTTTGAAAATGACATTTTTTTTAGTGTGGTAAACTGGGTTTCTTAATTAGGTCTCAGTTTTTGTAATCCCAGTTGACACACACCAAGCCATCCTGTCTGCCATCTCCCTCAGCTGACCATGTGTCCTCATATTATTCATCTCTGTCTCTAATTCTCTTCTCCAGTGGTTGAAGAATGTGTTTCTCTCGCATGTAACAGAATGCAAATATTGCAATACAACACCACAAGTTAAAATTTGTCAAAGATTTACCTCTTAGATGCCCCAACTGAGTCTCCTTAACCTAACCTTGTCCACTCTCACTCTGTGGTACATTCACTTGACCATCGCAAGAAAATCGTGAATGTTTCCCGTGGCAGACTCACTACAACTTAATGTGCAAGTAGACCACTGATAGGTAAACAGTTCCTAACTCTCATCAGGTCTGTGTTCACATATTGTCTTCTTCTGTTGTCCTACAGCTTGTGTCATAAAGTGTTGCAGAGAGGAGTTAGATATAGTTTCCTGTCTTCTGCTGGTAACGCTTGTATTAATGTCATAATGCATTTCTGTAATTTTTCTTTTACTCCCTCCCTCCACCTATCTCTTTCTTGGTTAGCTTCTTTCCTTGTAGCCTGCTGTTCTTATGTAATACGCTCTAGCTGCTGGCTGATTGTGTTCCAGTCTAACCAGTTGATTCTTTGATGGTCTTTGAAATCATTTAGCGGTAGTGTATCTGCAGTTGTTTTTGGTTCTTCATTAGTGACTTTGTCTCTTTTTGTTTTTCTCACCAAATTTCTTTTATCTTTTATCTACCACATTGAAATTTGGCATTGTTTTCTCCTATAACTGTCCATATCTGGCATTCATTGCACAAAGTTGTTATGAAAAGCACATTTTTCAGCTGCTTTTGTGTGTGTGCATGTTGAAAGTATCTAACATTGCTATATTAGTCATTTTAGACTGCTGTCCTCTTTACCTCACAGTCATTTTGTTCAAACATATAAACTGCAGATCTGTGACATTAGTTCATTTGCTGGTTTATTCAGCTGCATTTTTTTTTTCTCTTCTCCCTGGTTATATCAGAAGTGAGTTAGCTCATCTGTTCCTGGAACTAGGAGAAGAGCCTATAACAAGTGCACTCATTTGTACTGCCCTGTGTTCTGGCATGGAGAGTAAAGTGCCAAAGTTCATGTCTGTCATCAGAGATAGTTTCCACAACATGAAAGTGTAAGTTGATTTTATGAAAGCTGTTGATCTACAGTTTCCATAGCATGAAGGTGTAAGTAGATTTCATTAAAATAATTTAAAGTTATAAGAGGTAAAGATTTAACTCTGGCGTTTTTGTAATCATAACATGTCATTTTAAATGTCTGTCTGTCTCTGTGTGTATGTGTGTCTTTAAATGTATTCAGTTGAATAACAATAAGGGATTATATTCTGGCCAGTGTTGCATTGAATGTATGGTGCTAGAACCACATTTGTATAGACAAATGGGGACTCTATGATGTGGTAAGAATCTTTAACTTTGTGTATGATTTACCCTTTTGCCCTGTTCAAAATTATTTCAAAATTTTATTAAAATTAGAAGCATTGATATTATTATCTTAAACTTGACACTGTGACACTAAAGGAAGAGAAGAAGAAGCAGAAAAAAATATGGAATCTTGGTCAGATCTTTTAAAAATCCAAGGGATTTAAACTTATAACTACCAGGCAAACAGGCAAGTCTTTTATCTGTTTCCTCATCGCGGCCCCCAAGTCACATAAAAGATGGATTTTGTTTATAACTAGAATCATTAATTTTTGCAGATTTTATTTTTTAAATATGAAATTTATGAAAGGAAGTAATCAGTGAATACATTTGAGGCAAGTAAATAATTACTTTCCTTCTCAGTCAACAAGAAAACAGGGGTTTTGTTGACACAGAAAGACAGTTGATGTCATCATTATATTTATTATGTCAGCAAATTCACCTAAAAATACATTTTCACCCTAAGTATTATCTGTGAAACTTTGTTGTTGTTGTAAATACAACCACACCCACTACGTTTACAAACTGTTCAGTTTCCACTAGTAAAAAAGCTGTTATATAAGGATACTGGCCACTGCCCAAAAGAAGCCAAATTGTCAAAAACCTGCAAAAGTTGAACAACCAGCTTTCTCAGGACAACAGGGTTGATGTGATACCCACAATTTTAAAACATCTAATGAACTGTTTAAAATTTTTGTGTACCTGAAGATTGTTATTGTGACAGGTTTCATGTTTGTTTCAGTGAATTTGAGAAGCTGGCGATTGGTGTTCTTGATGAATGTCATGGTAATAACCCAGACAAGGCTGTCATGCTTGTAGGAAGGAAGTCTCCGGTGTGGAGTAACCTAACTTGCCTGCAGATTGCTATCTCTGCTGCTGACCAGGTTTGGCATCGTATTTCAAGGGCTGAATTTAGAAAGAGTTGATGGTTGCAGCTGTGTATTATTGGATGAAGGCTGTGTATGAATTGATGAATGACACTGTGTATGAACTGATGGATGGCATTGTGTATGAATTGATGGATAGCATTGTGTATAAATTGATGGATGGCATTGTGTATCATAAAATGAAGACAGTGTATGAATTGATGGTTTGCATTGTGTATCATAGGGTGAAGAGATGGTGGCATTGTGTATTGTATGTTTAAGGAATTTATGGATGGCATCACATATCATTGGGTAAATTTCAGTGTACGAATTGATGAATGTCATTGTGAATCATGGGGGGGGGGGGGGGGGGGGGGGGGGGGGGGGGGGGGGGGGGGGGGGGGGGGGGGGGGGGGGGGGGGGGGGGGGGGGGGGGGGGGGGGGGGGGGGGGGGGGGGGGGGGGGGGGGGGGGGGGGGGGGGGGGGGGGGGGGGGGGGGGGGGGGGGGGGGGGGGGGGGGGGGGGGGGTGGGGGGGGGGGGGGGGGGGGGGGGGGTGGGGGGGGGGGGGGGGGGGGGGGGGGGGGGGGGGGGGGGGGGGGGGGGGGGGGGGGGGGGGGGGGGGGGGGGGGGGGGGGGGGGGGGGGGGGAATGTCAGTGAATGCATTGACAAATAGTATAGTGTATGGTGGGATAAATTTGGAGCAATAATTGAAAGATGGCATTGTGTTTCACTGGGTGAATTAAAAGCATCATTATGAAGCTATTATAAAATCCACCTCTGATTGGCTGGTAAAAATAAACCGTTTGCCATAGTGACAGTGTTCATTGCTTGCATCATTCAGTAGGTCACTGCTAGCACCATTCCGTAGGTTTTTAACTCACTACACATCTACCTAAATTTGTATTTGCTCAGGGATTCATGAATCATGAGCAAATAAACATGGACACTGTTACTTGACACTGCTTTTCGCATTGGTTGTGAAATTCATTGTGTGTTCCATTTTCTTCAGGCAGAAGGTGGAAATGCCGCCAAGATTCACCGTTGATTGTGTTGTGTGTATGGTGATAACATTATGAGTGAAGTTCTGTGAGGGATTACTGCAGGAAATTCAGAGATGGACATAAAGATGTGCATGATGAGGGTGGACAAGAATGACATTCATGAGTGACAGATGAACTCCTTCAGAAAGTCAATCAAGTCATAGTGAAAAAGCGCAGTTTCAAAATTTGAGATCTTTCTATCAGATCTGTCAGCTGGTCCTAGAAATTTATGGACATTCTGTAGAAAGATATGAAGCTTGCAATGCAGTGTACAAATGTTTAAGACAGCTGTCAGATGTGCCAACACCATTGGTCCCACACTAGAAGTACAGCTCACCGTTGGTGTAAGCAGTCAATCATTAAAGCTGCAAAAATTAGACACCATTCTAATGTTATCAACCCCCTACCATTTTAGTGCAGTAAACAATATGCCATGGGCACAAGAGAGAAAAAACATTCAGCATGAAATCCACAGCTCACAGTGTCATGCCAAGCTGTATCTGGGTGACAAAATGAAACCTTTGGACTTCTGGTTCAAAAATGGGGGATTTGCAACAGTAAAACTAGCTGGAAAGATATAACTTTTCAGAGCATTAGTGGTCAGTTGGCTATCAGCTATTTTGGCATCCCAGAGAGATGAATAATGTAGGTAAGGTGTGGAGGATAATGCATGAGATAGCAAAGGGAAGAAAGGCTTTGCATGAGTTGGTGGCTACATAGCCAGACAAAAGTTTAGTGAAAAGAGAATAAAGTGATTATAAATTTCATTGTCAATCAGAACTATTTTTTAAAATTTTATTTTTCTACAGGCATTTGTGTCATCTGTGGCTTGCCAGAATTCCATTGACAATGTCTGGAAAAGTGGAATCATATCAAGTTGGCCAAAGGTGCAGTTAAAAAGCCCCCCCCCCCCCCCCCCCCCCCCCCCCCCCCCCCCCCCCCCCCCACCCCCCAAAAAAAGCAACCTTTTCTGTAGTTATAGAGTTACATAATTTTGCTCTCTTCTGCTATAACAGATTAAAAAGGTTCCCCGGAGGTCTCTGTAAAAATTGCACTCATGAACTGAAGGGTGCAGCCGTGGAACAAACCCACGACCTTCAGAGCGCAAAATAAACGGCATGATCACTTCACCATGGAGACCCCCCCCCCCCTCTCTCTTGTGTATATAGTTTCAATCATTATGGAATTAAATGTGTCTGGAGATTTTGTTCTTGTAAAAATGAAAAAAATGAAAAAAAATTCCAGTCCAACTCAACATATTGTTTATAAAAAAAGATAAAATAATAAACGTTCAGGCCTCTTTATTGAAGTTGTATATAAATTATTCACGTATCATTAAACAAATTTTAGGTGTTTTAATCTTCACCAGCTTAATTTCTTTAATTGCCGTCTGAAGCAAAGACTGCAAATTTACAGTTTGCTTTACAATATCTTAGATCCTTCATTTATCAGTAAGTGACATTTTTTCTTAGATTGTATCTCACACATTTTTAGCCTTTCTTTAAGTTATTGTTGTGTTATTTTTGTGTGAGTGTGGTAATATTTTAGCTACATTCCTTATAGATACAGTAATAAATAAAAACTTGACCAAACCTTTAGCAGACTGTTTTAGCATGAAACAGTAGGGCTATCTTTAAAAAAAAAAAATCCCCTATTGTTTTATTCATATTTCATAGTAAATCTACATTTCTTATCTTTTATTACTGTTCTAATATTTGTGGTTAGCACGACAATAAAATTGAATTTTTTTCCTGTTTTCTCTGTGTTTGAAACTTTTATCGTAAATATGTACAGTCCTCGATTATCATCGTGTAGCAGAATGTTGCTCTCCTGACAACCTGTGTGAATGAAACTGTCTCTCGCTAGCTTTCTGCCTCATGCATTTTCCTTTATATCTTGTGCCCATCTTTATGCTGGTCAGCCCCTGCTCTTCTTTCCTGGTACTTTGCCTTCTGTCACTATTCTTTTTAATCTATCATTGCACTTGATATGGCTAAAATATTTCAGTTTCTGAGATACAGTGCTTTTTTTCTACCCAGTCTTTCTTTACGCTTAGATCTTTTTGTATGTGAATATTTTTTTTTCTTCTTAGTCCATGGTATGTTAAGAATTATTCTATAGCATTTCAGCTCAACACCCAAATTTTCTCCCTTAATAATTGCTAGAAAGTCCATAACTCACATCCAATAGTTGCTAAAGAAAGAATGCCAGCTCTCAAAACTTTGTCAATATGTCAGAAGGTTGTGTTATAGTGTGCTTGTTTCACATGTGTGTTTTATTTTTGTATTAAAAATTTGTTTTTCCTATTTAAGTTTTTTCTGTCAAGACGTGCATGGAGTCTGCATTAACTAACAAAACTGTTATAATCTTTAAACATATTTTACAAATGTGATTTTTTATTCAATACAAAATTATATGTTCAGATACTGAAGAGTTGTTGAGCACTGATTCCGCTCATTGTTTAATCCTAATTATTATATTTGTGTGCTTTGTATCTTTTTCAGGTGTTTATGTGTGCTGTATTCCCTCCATTCATTCTGTTTTTTGTTGAAATGAATCTGATGGGAAGGAAGGTTATGTCCAAAACTCAAAAGATTCTTACATTTTATACTGCTCCATTGACAAAGTTTTCATTGTTTTCGGTAAGTATATGAACTGTAGGCATCTCCTTGACTTAATTTTTTATTTACATTTTTATAATTTAAATTTTGTTTAATTAATTTTTTTTCTTCAGTTTTGTAAATTTATGATTCATTTTTCTGAGCATATAGTTTCTGTTTGTTCTTTCAATAAAAACAGCATCTGTGTATGGGACACAATTTTTTTGGGTTATTTTAAAGCTGTCAGTGGGGACCCTAATATAACCTAATGGTTGAAAAGGGTTTCTGGGACTTGTGCATGGGGGAATTCTCCTCCGAATGGTGGCTCTTTGTGTCACTGGGTGTTAATCGCTCATTGTGCAGTCCTGGTGGAGTTTTTCTTCACTCACTCACTCAGTAATTTTACAATCTAGAGTCATCAACGTCCATAATTTTTGTCTAGATGAGTAGCATTATTTCTAGTTTCATACAATTATATAGATATGGCCAAATTACAGTAGGTAGAAGATGACAAAGTCAGCCTGTAATGAAATATACAAGTATGTGCAGATGGGACATGATAGGTATAGATATTGATGTGGATTCATAGGAATAGGATGCTATGGGCCATGTTGCATGGAGGTTTAAAATTAGGAAATGAAATACTATAAACAGAAACTAGTATGTGTTTAACTTCTCCAGCGGTCCAGCTTAGTCTCCATAGCCCAACCTTATCCCCTCTCAGCCTGCAGTCCATTTACTTGCCCATTACAAGAAAGTCATGTACGTTTGTGTCTCGTGGCAGACCAAATGCAACTTAACATACACTGGCATCTAGGACCAGTGTATGACACACAGACCATGGATTTGATACACAGACCATGGACCAGACTAACTATGGATGTGGTACCACACACCATGATGTGGTAGTAGACATCACCATGGATGTGGTACACAGACCAGGATGTGACCATGGATGTGGTACACAGACCATGGATGTGGTACACAGACCATGGATGTGGTACACAGACCATGGATGTGGTACACAGACCATGGATGTGGTACACAGACCATGGATGTGGTACACAGACCAGGGATGTGGTACACAGACCATGGATGTGGTACACAGACCATGGATGTGGTACACAGACCATGGATGTGGTACACAGACCAGGGATGTGGTACACAGACCAGGGATGTGGTACACAGACCAGGGATGTGGTACACAGCCCTTAACTCTCTTTCCGACTGTCTCTGTATTCAGATGTTATGTAACGTTTAAGGATATCCTCTATGGTGAATTACAGATAGATAGAGGATGTTAAGGCCCACCTCTTCTATAATATAAAGATGTGGGCAAATGGGGCATGAATGATACATTTATTGAGTTAGATTCATGGGAACAGAATGCAATGGACCATGTTGTTGGCAAGGGGGAATATCAGTTAGAGAATGCGAATAAAGGAACAAAGTATTGAAGAAATGTTGAAAGCTGAGCCATCTGGGAAAATATGCACTTAATACATGTGATGGCAACAGTGGTCCTGAAATCTCATGCTCTAATTGTGAAAGACTTTTTTAAAATGTTGGTCTTGCTAGTCACACTCCCCATCACCTTCTTGTAGAACAATATAAGACTAAAATCTTGCTAGTCACACTCACCTTCACCTCCTTGCAGCACAATATAAGACTAAAGTCTTGCTAGTCACACTCCCCATCACCTCCTTGTAGCACAATATTAGACTAAAATCTTGCTAGTCACACTCACCTTCACCTCCTTGCAGCACAATATAAGACTAAAGTCTTGCTAGTCACACTCACCTTCACCTCCTTGTAGAACAATATAAGACTAAAGTCTTGCTAGTCACACTCACCTTCACCTCCTTGTAGCACAATATAAGACAAAAGTCTGGAAAGAGGAAAGGGTGTTAACTCCAAAAACAACAACAATAACCAATGTGATACTCACAGAAAGTCCAAAATTTGTAATAGAGCTGCAGATAAACAACACAAATATTCAGTATACGTTGTGGAGCTGTACAAAATGGTCAACAAGGACTTACTCCTCACAGTACTAATGATATGCACCCCATAAATTGTAAACCATTACCAAGAATAAAAAATCCTAGCATACCCAGGTAGTTCAGTATTTAAGACCAACTCCCTTGGAAGATATGGCATTCACATAAAGTGCCCAAATAGAACTTCTTCAGAGGTCTGTGACTGCTGTGGTGAAAACTGGTCCTAACGTGCAGCAGAAATGGTTACAGTAGGAATTAACTGCTATGCCAGCATTTTGACCTTGTGGGACAAAGCTTATGTGATGTAAGTACTTTCAGTGATATCTCTTCTTTTCTGGAAACACTGATATAAAACACTCTGTATGAAAACCAATACATTTCCCTACCAGGAGTAATAATCCATAACATAATGATGTGCCACTGCCTCATTAAATAATTATATTTGACTGCCAGTCAAGCGACCTCTTGGAAATAAGGCTGATAGATTTTATAAACAGAAGCAACATGACAACAACGGATCACATCTTGCAGTATAAGAATAGTCTAAAAGGTTCTCAGAAACAGCAAAAGAGAAAACTGACTAAATAAATGGGAAACAGGAGCTCAAATTAATTTTGATAAAATCACAACAAATTCAATGAAAAAAATCAGTGGCCGTAACAGGAAAATTCAGAGCCTAGTTTTCTAGTTTTAGTTTCAAACAGGGCATGCTAGATTAAGTAGCAAGGTAAAAGATATCAGTTCTTAACATGTACATATGTTGTTCAAAAACCATCTACTACCAAATGCCCTGTACTTTCATGCATTATTGAGGGGAAGTTACTACAGCAATCTTCAACAGTTACAGACTCGGTTGGCTCCTAGAAGGGCAGCAGAGGACAAAAACCTTTGTAAGAATGGTATTGGTCTGCCAAGCATTGACACCTCACCAGCTTTACGATCAGCAACAACAACAAAAACAACAACAACAACAGTGTGTAATCACATTGATATGGTTAGATAAATGAATCATTTTTTGTTTGTTAGAAAAGAGATTTGTCAGTCTTCTCACACAGTTTATTGTGAAATATCTTAATATGTTACAATGTTCCAGGCTGCATATGTGGTCTTCCTAGCCTTGTTCACATACATGATATCTGTGGATTATAATCAAGTTCCCTCAGTCACTGAATGGATTGCAATTGTGTGGATTTTTACCTTCTTTGTAGGGAAGATCCATGCAGTAAGTTCAGTTTTATTTTCAGTTTCAATTTTGTTATCCTGCATATTGTCAAAGGTTTTTAAATGTTTTATTGTTGTTGTTAGTAGTTAATTACTTTCACAAAAATTATTCCCAGATATCCATCGACAGGTTTAACCCTCTCGTCTCGGGAAAACTAAAAATGGATCATGACATCCTTTTAATTCCATAAAAAAATCCTATGACATAGGTCACTAATAAATGCATAAAAAATGTATTTTTTCTACATTAAAATTTTGATGTTTGAATATATAAAGACATAATCAATAAACATAAACAGGGTGAAGCATAAATTGGTATACATTCAGGTTATTGAGGCTTACAAAAGAATTTGATGTCTAATTTGCTTTAAAAATGCTATTTGGCTCAGTGAAGGATGCTGTGAGCTAGAAACAGAACCTTATATCTCCCTCGACACCCACAGCGGTAAAAGAGGAAGTGAAGAAGAAGAAGAAGGATGCTGTTTTCAGTTAAAATCTCCATATCCTGAAATCCTAGATGTTTGTGCAGGCGCAAACACAGCCAGTAGCATTAACTATGCTTCTTCTTCTTCGCCTTCACCAGCTGTACACTCTGGCGGAAAGTTCTGGTTGCTCGTCCACTAGTGAACTGCAGTCCTGCTCCAGAACCTGAGTGTTATGTGTGCATCAGTTTTACAGATCTCATGCTCTTGAATACAGACTGTTGGTTCCTTGCCTCTCCAGCAGATGCACTCCGACTTCAAAGGAAGCTCCCCAATTAGTCGACTCTTACGACATGCTTTTGGGGAGGCAGTGAGTCTATTCTTGTTTTCCTCATAATGGGGCCCCGGAACCCACACGGGTGCATTAACTATGCATCTCATGAACAGTTCACTATAGACAAGTCAGAAAAGTGACATGTAGAGGAAATTGGACCCAACTAGATGTGTGGATTTTGTGGCTTCTCAGGGTGATAGGGTGAAGAAAGTTGTCAATATGAGAGGATCAGCTGCAGTGAACTGGATTTGATCCCATATGGATAGATCAGTGAGCTGCTTGATTAGAGAATTACACAAAGCATGCACTCTATAGCTTTAGGATTACTGACAAAACGGTACCTGTAAATCAAACAATACAATCAAAAAATGATCTTAATGGGAGGCAAATGACAACGGCTTTACCCAAGAATCCCATTAGGTATCCCTCAGTTCACGATTATACCTTGAAGAAGGTATCTTTTATAACAAACATTAAAATGAATATAATTATATAAAGTAAGGAAAATGAAGAGTTTACATATCTTTCAAAATTAAGTACGCTGAAAATTGAATTTTGTCATCAGTTTTGTTTTGTTTTTTCTAGAGCCAGGAGTGTACATTACTAACCTTGACTCCTAAATTCTCTATCATCTAATAACTTGAACCCAGGTCTACCACGTAAGAGCCCAGCACTCTAACCAACTGCCAGCCACTTCTTATTGCTCTCTGTACAGTTAGGGAAAATATACAGATCCACTGAATCAATACTAAACACCAGGTTGTAGGAAACACATGAGGAATTTGAAGACATGGTTGAGTTCACACCAAAAAAAAACTTGCCTGATGCTACATTAGGTTCGCACGGTCGACATCTCTGCACATTGGGCATTCCCATACATACTCAGTCCTCTGATCCAGCAGTCACCCCAAAATACCCCTAGTGATTTTTCCCATGAGAAGTTGCCTGATTGTGCAATTATTAATGAATGATTGTAGCAAGACAAAGGTGGAAAATTGATTGTTAATTTTAACTCTTAAAAGACATTTGACCAATATTTTAGGCTGATATTTGCAAATATTTATAATGAGGTAACTTCGTTTGGACTGCTCACTTTATTTTGTTCTGGTTATAAAGTTTAAATACTTTCTTTGATTTCTCTTATAAGGTTAATTAAATTAGTTCTGAAAAGCATTGAAATACAAAATGTCAGTCAACAAATTCAACTCAGAGAGAACAATCTAAAACAAACCTCCATGATCTTTAAGAATTAATTCTAACATTTAATGTGTTTTTTTCTAACTTTTATTTCTTAATTGTTGCAGTTCCTTGTGTTTCCATCTGCATCTTTTTCTGGGAAAATGAGAGACTACTTTGGCATTTTTGACAGACTGGACTTTGTCAACTTGGTGCTGGCTATGTGTGCTTTTTGTGTACGATGGAGCCATGTCAATGAGGGCAAAGTAATCTACTGCATCAACGCCATTATCTTCTATATTAGTATCATGAAGTTGTACACAGCAAATAGGATTCTTGGTCCCAAGCTTTATATGATCAACCGCATGGTAAGTTCTTTATGTTTGAAGTGTTGCCTGTTAGCATTGGAGTTTCTATGAAAGCATTCATCAAATTTAGAAAAAAAAATTTGAAGATTAGAGAAATCCTTTTTTAAAATATTAGAATGTTGCATGTCACCTGAAAGGTATGATGTTTGTATGGGATTGTTATTAAAATCACAATTTTAATCATAATCATTATATTATCATTACAACAAGAATGTTATTAATTTTAGTACCTCAAATTTCAAATATATTTTCATATAGACAACAGTTGGTAGATGGTATTAAGAATTGATGCCCTATGGAAGCAATATGTTTTTCTTACATGTTGAATTCTGCTATGACAGAGCACAGTTGGGTTTCATCAAAGTCCAGGGACTTAGTTTTGGTAACCATGCACTAATAATTTGCTTCACCAGAGCATTGTGTTACAAACTGATTTTGGTTTGTTAAATAATTGTAAGAATGTGTATGCTGTTACACAGTTTTAAATATTGTGAGTCTGCTTCAGAAACCTGGAGAATAAACAAGCCACTAGAAATTTAAACTGAGACTGGAGATAGGGATATACAGAAGATAGATCATATTTCTTAGAACTGAAAACAAATACAGAGGTTCTAGAGAGACTGGTAATAAGAAAAAAGTTGCTGAAAAAAAATAAAGTGAAATATTCCACAACATTAAAAAACATATCACTCTTTTCAAACCAAGAAAAGCCAACAGAAAGAGAGAAGAAGATAGGCCATGACACAAGGGGAAGAATAGCATCAAGAATTTGATGAACAGTAGTTTGAGAGAGTTAAATACCAAGATAATAGACAGGAGACTGTTGGAAATCAGTGCTGCCAACTTTACTGTGGAGATAGCACCTAATTGATTGAACCTGCCAGGAACAACTTTTCAGTACAAATTATAATGCAGCAGTAAATAACAGTATATATTTCTGTTTTAAGTAACAGGTCAGTTTACATACACACTTAGGTATGAAATTATGACATGCATTGGCAAAGCATCAGCAGCTTTGAAAAGCCTAAACAAAATATGGGACTCATAATTGTTTAGTTTTGAAAGCCAGTTACAACTCTAATATTATTTCAGTTTTAACATATGTCAGTGAAAAATTAGAAAACGACTAAAACATGGAACGAAGTTTAGTGCATGTGAAAAGAAATACCTGAGGAAAATTTTGAACATAAAATGAGATGATTCAAAAGAAATAAAGAAATAAGAGAAATGTCTGGGCAACCACTAGTAAGAACAGTTATAAGACATAGAAGATGGTGCTATGTTGGTCACATCCTGAGAAAAGAATGAGCAGAGAATCACCAGACAGGCACTAAAATGGGAAATAAAGGTTTGAGGAAGAGTCTCTAAGCCTGGATGTCCAAAAATAATCCTTAAGATGAGAGAGGCCAAAGGTTGTGGACCGGATTCTTCTATCTATGATATTAGAGGGATTGCACAGGATAATGTAAAATGGGGGAATCTACTGTAACCCCTTTGTGACATATAATGGCGCAACAGGACAACAAATGCATTTCTGGGCTTAGGTTATGTAAATAAGAAAACTAGGAAATGCAGCTGGAAAAACAAGAAGAGACACACCAGTAAAGAATTAAGAACAAAAGTAGACGCAATCCTGGCTAATGATTTCATAGAACATCCACACAAAAAAAATGGTTTGGTCATTTGATCAGTATGTTGCAAAATCAGCCAGCAGCTAGAGCATACTACATGAGAACAGCAGGCGACAAGCCAAGAGGCTGACCAAGAAAGAGATGGGCTGAGGAAGTAAAAAAGACACTACAGAAATGCAGTATGACATTAACACAAGCTAGCAACTAGTGAAAGTAGGAAACTATATATAACTCCTGCATAAAAAAAGAAGAAAAAAAAAAGAAGTAAAGTGAGTAGTTTATAAGATAAACATCAACATTGCAATACACATATATTTCGTTTATACATATAAATAGTACCTGTTATTTCACCTAGATCCTATCAGCTGTAAACACACCAAGAGTTTTTTTTTTCTTCCAGCTGGTTGAACTGGGCAATTTTTGCATGGTTCTTGTTGTGTTCCTGCTGGCTTACGGTGTGGCAAGTCAGGCACTTCTCTACAAACACAGAGATACTTCTTGGCAGATCCTCAAGGATATACTCTACTTTCCCTACTGGCAGCTTTACGGGGAGCTTTTCCTAGAAGAGCTGGAGAGTAAGATGTTCAATTTTTGCCATATTTTGCAATTTTTTATGTAAACTTATAAACGGAAGTGTCATAGAAGTGTGTGATATCAACCCACCCACTCACTCACTCACACATGATTTAACATCTGCCTTCTCTCCCCCCCCCCCCCCCCCCCCATTTCCTTTCAACACCCCCTCTTTTTTTTAACCCCCCCCCCCCCCCCCCCCCCCCTTCCCTTTCCACAAAAATGATTTCAGTTGCATATATTTTACAGGATGCTGAAAAACTAACCTTATTATATTTTTGCTGTTTGTGGTTTTACTAAACAGTTTTATGCTCAGTCATTTGCCATTGTTGAATAAAAGGTTGGCACACCATACTATTGGCAAAATAAATGTGCAGACTGCAGCTGAATTGAACTGGGCATTTCTCAATTACGAATCATATTCTGGTAATCTGGTAATCTTAGTTTCACCAAACGGGTCACCCCATTGTTGCTCCGCTCCTGTGCCAACGAAAAGCACACAGAATGTTTATCACAGTCCCCCGTGGAAAAATTGAAAGACTTCTGTCTCAGCATATCTAGCATACACATGCATTAAGAGCATGTGGTAGCCATTCAAAGTGCTAACACAAACAGTCCAACAATAGGAATGTAGTTTATCAATGATGGTAGCTGTAGTCACCAACAGATCAGCAGTTGCCCACTTGATCAGTTTTAATCACATAATGCCATCACCAGTATTGCGACAACAGGCATCCCGCCATTTTCTGAATCTACAATTCACACCACTACGTTGGTCACAGTCAAAAAACATTCCAAATTAAATCTGCAGCTCACAGTGTCATGCCATGCACTCAGCTCAGAAACTCGGTGACGAAACTATATCCTTTCAGGCTACAAATGGAGCAAAAATGCAAAAAATTGGCCACGACTCAAAGCAGTGACTGCGCCTAGCATCCATTTTGACCGGAAGTAGTAGTGTTAGTCAGGGAATCATGTTCAAAATGACTCAGTCACAGTCACTGACACATAAATGTTTACTCCTCCACATAGCAGGCCATTTCTTAACCACCATATGTCTCTGAGGTAAAAATGAAACATTGTATGAAAGGAGCGGAGTGGAAGGGCAGAATGTTAGACGGGCCTGCGTGCCCAATTCTTAACCCTTTGAGAATAAAGTTTGTTCGTTCGTTCGTTCTGTCTTCTTTTTTTTCTCGACTGTTCCATGAACAGACGTACACAGACACACACACACACGCACGCGCACACACACACATACAGATATATATATATATATATATATATATATATATATATATATATATATATATATATATATATATATATATATATATATATATATATATATATATATATATATATGCCCTGATGCATTTTCTTACCTGTTTGGCCGCCTCTGTGACTTGTTAAATTGTCAGCTTGACAGTTGTGGAGAGATAGAAGAGATCAGCAGGTCTTGTAGTATACACTTTTGTTTTTCTACTGCAAAATCTTTTACAATATATCCTCGGTTAACTTATGCCAAGATATTCTGGTTTTTGTTGTTGCTGCCATCTATTTAATACAGGTCATTTCAAGTCCTCCCATTTTTTTAAACTTTTGTTTGTAACTCTCCTCTCTGCATGTTTTAAGTTTTTCTTAATCTCTTGTGTCATGTGAAGGACTTGAATTTATTTTATAGATACAAAAGGAAATGAAAAGAAGATAATTTGAAGAATAAAAATAGTTCAGTGATAGAAAAGAAGGACTAATGTTCATTTTAATTAAATGCATCTTGTCACAATTTACAGCTGACGATGCATGCACTAGAGCACTTCAGGATTCTTTAAATGGTGCTCTAACAGATGTAGAGAACACGTGCCGAACATTCCACTGGCTGGTGCCAGTATTACTGGCTCTCTATTTGCTCATGGGAAATGTCCTTTTGCTGAATTTACTTATTGCCATTTTCAGGTAGGGAAGTAGATACACACTGAACTCTTTGTATTCTTTTCAAATTTAAAATAGTGATCATCGGCTTGCTTGTATTCAATGAAGAAGAAGAATTTACAAACACACACACACATGCACATATGCACGCAACACGCATGCACGCACGCATGCACGTACGCATGCACATACATAAATACATTTAGATATTTAAGTGAGTGGTTTTTATACATTTATTTGTGTGTATGTGTGTGTGTAACGATAGAGTAGTTATCTTCAGCCAACTGAAATTCAATATAACTGTGATAATTACATTACTGATCTTGCAACTTTTATATACATTCACAGTTTTTCCAACAGTTAGTTCTTTCCCCTGTCAGTTTCTTTCCAAACATTTAACAAACTACAGTCTGCATAAAACGTTTTGATTAATTGACCTAATGTTATTTAGGATTCCCTAAAAGCCAGAAAGTGGACTTTAGGTAATGCTTACACCACCTTATTTCTAAAACCCATGTAGCTTGAAGACTAAGATCAGAAAAAAACCAGATTTCACAGTGATATGCATTTTTTGCAGATGTCTTTGCTTTTAGTAGAAGGAAATATAAGAAAGGAATATGGTAAACCTGATAAAATAATGCCCTAACCTCGTATATGTAACTACAGCATTTCATAACCCTTTAGCAAAATATGTCAAGAGATTACCATAATTTTACTGTAAACTTGTTCTATCCCATATTTCAGCCATGTTTTTGAGACTGTGGAGAACAACTCCATTGAGATTTGGAAGTTCCAGATGTATTTTCTTGTCATGGAGTTTCAGAATCAACCTCTCATGTTTCCCCCACTTAGTGTATTCTTCAATGCCTGGCATTTCATACAATGGATGTGTAACTGGCTTTCTTGTCACAAGCAACCAAAACGTGAGTAATGTTTTTTTTTCCTCCTTTTCTTCATTCACACTTAAAAGGGTGGCTGGCAATTTGTTTTGTGGTTTACAGCAAAGGTGTGATATCTGTGTCTTTCTTCTCAAAACATCCACCTACAGCAAGTTTGTAATTAATCAGTTTCCTTTCGTGACATGCTTGTGAAGAGGTGGTGGGTCCCTTCTTGCTTCTCCTGAATGGGGCTTCAGAACCCACACAAGGATACTTGTTACTGTTTATATTTGTGCATGTGATTGTAGTTTGTGCTACTTTAAGTTCAGGGTGTCTGGGAAAGAGGCCAAGTTATTTCTGAATGATCATGGGAAGGAGATGGTTTGGGTCTATGTGGTGAAGTAGTTAAGACTGTTTGTTTGCCTTTTACTCTGAAGGTTGTGGGTTCATTTGTTGACTCTGTCTTGGTTTGAAAGTGTTTAGTAAACCTAGGAGGTAAAATTGGGGGGGGGGGGGGGGGGGATGTCCTATAGTGGAACAATTTAGTTAATGTTTTGTGCAACACTCTCGAGTCCAACCAGCCACACTGTTGAGAGGTGGAATACAGCCTAGCACAATACAGCTTATCCTCTTGCATTTCAAAGACTTTCTGATGGCCATATTTTCTGATTCTTCAATGTGGTTCATGAGTGCAAATGTTTTGGAGATTCAGTGGCTGGAAAGAGGGTGGGGGGATGCTTTGTGTGATGTTCTGAGTAAGGGGTCTGTCACTCTAAAGGGCACCACATAAGTTTCCACGCATGAGAAAATAAATATTTTTAATGAAAACAATTTATATGCTTAAAATGACTACCATTGTTTTGAAAAAAAAAATTATTTACTGCATGCCTTCCAATGTTAAGGAAACCTATAAATAAGCACAGCTGGATTTACACGTGTATGGCTTGGTTATATGTTTATTTTTTTCCTATGTATGGAAGCTTATGAGATACGACGTAGAGAGCCTGAGCCATATAGGTTTAAACTTAGTGCTATAAAGTCATTTCTCTCACCCTAATCTCCTTTTAAATACTGTAAGTTGATTTCTAAAACTTGGGATTGTTTGTTTCATTACATACATGTTTAAGATAATGCTGACCTGTCTTCTTCTTCTTCTTTCTTTTTTCAAAATCTGCTTTTTAATGCCAAGCATCATAGTTTAACAGACAACAGATGGCTGAGTGAGGGCGCACTTGGTTGCTTGATATGCTGTGAGGATGTGAAATCTTAGGGTGTCAGTGACTTCTTCATTCCATGTTCTTCTAGGTCTTCATCAGTCTTTTGGTATCTTCATGTTCATGTTGTGCATTCTGGCCTGCTGCATTGATTTATTTATTCTCACTAGGTGGCCAACCCATTTCAGTATTTGTTCCTCAATGAAGTTGACAATGAGTGCACTATCAGAATAAACTAAAATAAATGTTAGCTTATTCTGGGAAAGTATCTTCAAGTTTAGTTTTTAGACTCAAATTTATCTACGCTAATGACAAAATAATTGAACAAGTGCTTTTGGGTCTTATAAATGATGATTAAATTAAGGCTTTCCAAAATCATATTTCTTTACAGCCTTCTCTCTCTCTCTCTCTCTCTCTCTCTCTCTCTCTCGTGTTATGCTAATTTCTGATACTAATGTTTCTCCATGTCACTTTTCTGAACTGTCTAACATCACCTGTTATGGTCTTTTCCAACCTCTCTTCATCTTTCTGTTGGCATGAAGCTCTCCAGTTTTGACATCCTCACCCCATACCCAAAGAGTGTGCATCAGTTAGCTCTCCTGATGCTGGTAACTGATTCTCTGTATATGTTGATTTCTTTCAAGACATCTTATTTACACATTTGATTTGTCCTTCAGTCTTTTCAAAACCACATCTGGCAGCCTCTCACTAATCAGCTAACTGTAAACTTCTGTACATCAGAATTGGCTATTTATAGCTCTCAAAAAACATATTTCTTTTTGAATATGATATTTTTCGTTCTGTAAAAATACTGCTTTTGCATATTCTACATTAACATTTTTTTTAAAAATCTCTATGATAATGACTTTCCACCATTTTCTGTCCAGACCTTTCACTGCTCCTTCTGCTAATCTGTATCCTGACAATATCTTTTTTTTATCTGTGCATTTTGATCTACATTATATTTAAATATTTTACACACATTTTTGCTTTCTAAAAATTTAGTAAAGCCTTGATAGTTGAATCTTTCATTGATCACAGCTGAACAGTTCAGGAAGTACCATTTAGAATACTTGTCTCTGTTTGAAAAAGAAATGCTGGCAAACAAACTGAGGCCAGTAAAGGCTAATATCATTTACTCTCTTGACATGAAGTTTAATGCGCTCCTAAACAGGTAATTTTCTTCTTTCTTGCAACTGTATATTCATATTTAAAAAAAAGAAAAATGTTTTAGTAATTTTTTTTTCCAGACTCACATAAGACAGTTTATAAATATTTAATATATTGTTATTTTGATATTAGGAGTCGGGCATTTGATTTTAGCAGATTTTGGAGGGCATAGTATAGATTTTTTTCTCCAGATTGTATTCTAGTTTGTACCTTTTATTAGTAATTACTTGCATCCTGAGGGCTGAATGACTGTAGTGGTGTGGACATATAGAGAGAATATAGGTTTTAATGACACAAAAACTACATTAATAAACGAGTTTAATGGGAAAAGACCTTGGGGCAGGCCAAGAGGATCGTGGAGAGATCATGTACAGGCAGACTATAAAGTCTTTGACAGTAAACCTCAAGGGCCTGAAATACTGAAAATAAGAAGTTGTTGTTTTAGTTTAATCTATCACCAAAAAATAGTCATACAATTTATGGAATTTATTTGACATTTGTTTTTAATTAGTATCTTATTTAGTTAAAAAAAATGAAAAGTTTTCAATTAGGATGTTATTTTATTGAAACGAACTATGAAAAGTATAGATTTTTTTCAGTTAGAATGATTTTTAATTGAAATGAATAATGAAAAATATAGACATTTTTCAATTAGGATGTTATTTAATTAAAATGAATAATGAAAAGTATAGGTTTCTGGAGAGAAAAGATCCAAATAAGTCAAAATTCTCATTTTGAACACTAATAGATAACAGAGAGCACAACTGGGACAGAAAAAAAAAAAAATTGTACACTGTAATTGTGCTTCATAAATTATATGAAAGCATTTGATAAAGTAAAAGTGATGACTTTGATAAAAATGTTGGATGGACAAATTGACAGAATAATGTCAGAATAAGTTGGTGACTTTGATCAGATAGCTAGGAAGAAAATGCTGATGTCTTTTGTCAATAGATATATTTTTTCTCTGCAGTGACCAGAACAAAAAAAGATAATTTCACCATTTATAGACATACAAACTAAAGGGACTTTTATTCACATTTGATGTGTTTTTGAGTTCAAAATACTAGATCAGTATGGTTTTATTAAATAAAATATTCACCATTTAGTGGTGATGTTGTAAATATTATGCTTGCTGCCTTTATTTGTCAGATTCATTCTTGACCCTCATTTTGGGCTGGGACAGTTTTTAGAAAATTAGAAAAATCTGTGTTGAACACATGACCACTCAGCCAACACACTTACTGTGGCCACTTTTAAAAATAAGTAAGGGAAATAAAGTAATAAAACACTTTCCGTACCTTAACTTTTTCAATCCCACATACTTATTGCTTTAGTTTGTTCTATCCAAGTAATTGTTTTCTTGAGACTAATAGATGTTGGAACTAAATTAGTTAAATTAAAAAAAAAATGAATTAACACCTAACATTTGAGGTAGAATGGATTTATGTAAAACTTCTACTGGATATAAAGTTGAAGAAAACCATATCATTTATGCAGTTACCAATAAACATATGGGAAGTTGCTTGGTACCAATTACCAATTTTGAGTTAAAGTCATCTTATGCATATGGTGCTACTCATCAGCGATAGACTAGTGATGTAGGAAATATCACACCTTCTCACTCCACATTTTAGAACATTTCTTTGTACCAGTTTTTAAGTGGATGCCTTGACAAGGCTTTGAACAGACGACCACCAGACCATTGCAAAAGCTACTGCACTACCAACTTTCCATTTTATAGAGAGCTGTGTTTGAATTACAATTTGGAGAGAACAAAAACAGTATTTTATCAAAGTTAATGTTTTAACAGTTGCATATACATAATAGAGAGACTTTTGAAAACAAACATGCAGAACAACTTTCTTTGTGTCAGTTGAGTGATTTGAAATGGAGGAGGGCCAACTTAGACTTAAGGGAAACATTGTTAGGGAGAGAGACAGACAGTTGTGCATTTTGTATCAAATATTAGAATCAAGAAAGTAGTAGAAACAGCATTTATTGACAGTAGAAACAGCATTTATTGACAGTAGAAACAGCATTTATTGACAGTAGAAACAGCATTTATTGACAGTAGAAACAGTATATATTGACAGTAGAAACAGCATTTATTGTCAGTAGAAACAGCATTTATTGACAGTAGAAACAGCATTTATTGATAACTAAATACTTTTAACAATGGTGGAATTTATAAAATCATTACACAATTACAAAACTGCAGAAATTATTTTATTTAGAATGGATGAGCTTACCAAAATGATTGAAGAAGAAGTGTTATCAAATTTGCCAAATGAGACACTCAAGAGCAAACAAGAAACAAATAACGTAAGTAAAGCCTTTATTTTATTTTGTTTTTTCTATCTCTAAAAGGAGCATTGCCTACAGCCAGCTCTCTCTATGGATGAGCTCATGATTGCTAGTGTTGTCACCGCTCACTTGTGTGATAATTTCCACGTTGTGCTACTTGCTCGTCAGTTCATGACCATGGAAACTGTGATGTTTTTGTATTTCAACATTCTTTGTTAGTGGCTTAATTTTTTTGGTGGGGTTGGAGGGGGGGGGGGGGGGGATTGAATGTGGGGATCCAGTGCCATGCAGCTTAGAATAACAAGAACATCCCTGTTTCGATACTCATGAACAGTCACTCCTTCGCGCTTGCCCCTGTACTTCTTAGTTGTACACAGGTGTCTGCGCACCTCAAAGAGACTCACGACAACATAACATCCCACAAACATTATATGCAGTGAGCAAACGCTGAATGAAGCCATCTGGTAACACCCCCACAGCATTGGACAGTCAGTGCGACTCGCCGCAGCATGAATGGTAGGGGAAGGAACTTTTGCTGTGCTGGCAAGTTCTTGAGAAGTTCCCCAAAAAGATATATACAGTATATACATACATACATAGATACAATCATACATATATTCTTCTTGGTCTCTCTTATGCTATGCTTGGCAGATGCCATGTTAGTATTTTGTGTTTTGTGCTTGGCCCCCGAACAACTGGTTGAGATAAGATTTTATGTAATTATGAGCATGCTTCCAGATTATTATATTTTTTTCCAGCTTATGACAAGCTCATTTTTACTGGATATTTTTATGGACCTAAAAATTAAATAAAAACATTTCATATTATTGATATGACACTAACCTTGGCTACCTTTGTTGTTTGTATGAAAATCTAGTTTAGTTAAATTATTCTTGCACTTTCAAGTAATAGATTATTCATGAAATTCTCTAATTTTCGTCTGCAAACATAAACATTTAAGAATACCAAATAATACAGGTTTCATTTTCATGTTTTCAGGTGTTTTGTTCACATGGTACAACTTTTTTTTTAACCGAACAAAAGGTTATCAGTGAAAAATGTGGTAATTATCACACCAGCCATCTAAACTTCCTTGGACATGTTGTGTGTGTGAGTGTTTGATTGCGTGCGCGGGCATATGTGAGAGGATTTTATACATATAAAACATTTTCTTTTTTTTCTTTAGGATTTTAAGCCAGAGTCTAAGAAAAAACATGGGCAGACGAAGACAAAGACACAAGAACGTCACTCAGAATCAGCTTCAGCCAAACCAGAACTGAATGAAGAAAATCTGCCAAACTCTGCATCTGTCAAAGTTATGGCAAGGGCAGATGAAGAAAATCTGCCAAACTCTGCATCTGTCAAAGTTATGGCAAGGGCAGATGAAGAAAATCAGCAACCTGCCAGCAAAGACACAGAGCTTCATGTTTCCTCAGATGCTGCTATGGCAAGTCATTCACCAAATGAGGACCAAATGTCCCAGCTGTCCAGTCAGCATGGGTACAGTGACAAAAATGAGAAAGTTCATGTGTCAGTGGATAATGTGAATGGTTCCAGTTTATCAAAAGATTCGTTATCAAGGTATGTAGTAAACCAGTCTCTGGATTCAAATGAAGACTTAGTTCCAGTGGAAATGTTACCTAATGAAGAGTCAATGATAAGAACACCACACAGATCCAAGAAATATTCTGCAAAGAAGTTGAATAAACACGCATCATTTGACTCTACTGACAGTGATACTCCTCACCAGAAGATGCGTGTCAGACGACATATGAAACAGCAAAGTGATGACGACCTACAAAGCCGCATAGAAAGGGCTAGTCACTCTAATTATACTAGAAAAATGCTTTAAATTATTTTTCCTGTATTTTTGCCTCAGTGATGGAGAACAACTTGAAGCCAATATTTATATGACACCTTGAAGTTAAACTAGCTTTTATGAGACCAAGAGCTGTTGAAATTCTAAAGCTGTGAACTCACACTTCAAAAAGCTAGATGGATTTTTGTTTCTGTAATGTTCACTGTTAATGTAGTTGTAGCAAGATCTTTTATTTGTGTGTACTGACAAGGGCTTTCTAGTTGGAACATCTAATATACCTTGTGTGACTGTATTCCTGTAAAGCTAACCAGCATAATTTGAATATTGAGTCCCTCCAATTATAAACTTGTATTGTGAGTTTTAGCTTTTGAAATGCATATTCATAGAGGCAGCCCGTCTGATGAGCATACAAAACCGATTGCAAAGAAGAAAAAGAGGACACAGACTTTTATTGCCTTTGCTTTTAAGAAACTTTTAATTGTTTGTTTTAATTATGCCATAACAACATCTCTTCAGCTTTCAGGCACCAAGATTTTTGTTTGACAGTTGGATGCGGATTTCTGCATGCATTCATTTTGCTATCCAACAGAATGATTATGCAATGAGCAGCTCATCCAAGCAGAATGTTACAATTTTTTTGTTAACTATGTTGTATTGTCTAATTTATGTATATGATGTTTCATGGAAACAAGTGGATAATTTCACTTTATAGTTGAAAACATTATTTAAGCATATCCTGATTAAAAGCATATCTGTGATACATTTTGTTTACCTCAGCATTTGTGCAATTAAAATATTATTTGATGTCTTTTCATAATAGCAAAATATCAGGGTACAAGCTAAACCACCAGTGACAGGAAAAGAAAAACCCTACTAATATGAAAACTCAGTCAATATAACATTTGAACAAGTGTAATTTATGAATTTGCACATTACATTGCTGGACTGTATTATTTTTAAAGTTTTAGAAATATTTCTCAAATATTTTCTGCTTCATATGTTATATCTTACACTGAATACTGCTGACTTTGATACAGTTTTTAACAAATCAGTTGAAAGATTATTTTACAAAATAACTACTCTTAAATGTATGTTTTCAAATTTTATTATTGAAATAGATATGTAAAGACTTTTACCTTTACAACGATGATCTCAACAGTGGAATAATACTTATCTTCTGTTGCACTCCTTGTTGTGTTTTGTCCTCTTGATGGCTTATTAATTAACATACACATGCTCCTCTTCTCATAATAATCACATGGAGTGATTGCTTAATATTCATTCCCTCAGAATGAAAGAAGCCACTTCTTGCTTTAATTTCCTTTTTTTAAGGGTTTTCTTTAACATAAAATGCTTCAAGTGTAACATAGTATAGTATACTGCAATGTTTATTACAGTCTGATAATTTATTTTTCAATTTTGAGGAAGACAAGGAGAAGATGCACATGACAGCAAAGGATAGGATGACCATGACTGAACTAGTCAAAAACCTATGCTCTGACATTAAGGCAGGAAGAACAAGTTTTTAACTGCATTAAATAATATAGGATTTTGATGAAGTTAAAAGATAAAAGGGCAGGGGAGAGGGGGAGGGACAGTAGAGACATGAGCTGCATATTTGATATACTGTATTTCCCAAAGTATAAGACGATCTCATGTATAAGATACACCTTGATTTTAGGGCCGGAAATTCTGACAAAAAAATAATTTTACCCATCATAGAATCCAGAAAACTCCCCATCACTGTCACAACTCTCATCACTGTCACAACTCTCATCACTGTCACAACTCTCATCACTGTCACAACTCTCATCACTGTCACAACTCTCATCACTGTCACAACTCTCATCACTGTCACAACTCTCATCACTGTCACAACTCTCATCACTGTCACAACTCTCATCACTGTCACAACTCTCATCACCGTCACAACTCTCATCACTGTCACAACTCCCATCACTGTCACAACTCCCATCACTGTCACAACTCCCATCACTGTCACAACTCTCATCACCGTCACAACTCTCATCACCATTACAACTCTTCCATTTGATGGTTCTTTAGCCTGTCCTCATCTGTGTCTGATGATGAATTACTGTCTTCATTTGAAACTCCATACATCTTGAATGACTTGACAACAGTCTCAGTGTTTACATTATCCCAGGGTCTTTTTATCCAGGTACCAACATCTCTGATAGTTGGTTTCTTCACACTACCTGCTGGTGTCTCACTGTCTCTAGAAAACTGTATCCATTGGTTCCATTCGCCTCTCATGGCAACTTTTTATTTCACCCCTGAACCAGCATTCCTAAATCAGGTCCTGTATGGGACATTTCCTAACAGATCATTTGGTAAAAATCTACTACCATTATATGACTGTTTTTAGACACACTGTTTTTAGACCCTGTATTTAAAAAAAAATTATCATGTCTTTTACATGGAGAAATATGGTATGTTTTTTCTCTTTCTAATCCATCTGTCATTTCACACCCCACTTGCTCTTTATTGAGAAATGTAGAGAAAAAAACCTGTCCTCCAGTCTGCATTACACAAGTTACAGTAATTAATAGAGAATGACAACTTCATACTAACATTTTTTTTCATATTTGTAATGTATAATTCTAATGAGACTAACCTTTCTTTTGTATTCATAGCAGAAGTATACTGATGCTAATATGAAATTTTTAAATACGGGTAACATAAGTTTGATATATTTTTAGACCAGTCTGCACCTAAAGGCTGATGGAGTCAGTTTTATGCCAACCACTTTTACATCGTGAACATTTCCGGACACCTAGGGCACAATAATCTAAGAGCCAAAACCATTTTGTTGCAATCTTTAAAATGATGCCGACTTGAAAAATGATAAACAATATGTTACTGTTTACTTGTTGCAATATAAAATACTATGAACTGGGGAGTATGACAGTAATTGTCTGATTATAATTTACTGTTGTGCTAAAAGTAATTTTTATTTAGTGCCAATAGGCCTCAGTGATTGATGTGATCAACATCATACTGGCTTCACTTTACTGTCCAGGACATTACCAAGTACTTATTTAAGGCTGGGTCGACCTTGGAGCCAAGATCATTTTTGAAAAAAATATTCGGCTGTAAAAAAAAATCGAACCCACAACCGCTGGATCTGCTGGCAGGCATCTAGCTGCTACACCATGATGGTTCTGACTGATTGATTTATTTCTACCCATTATCCTTTGTTTCCTGTTGAAAGAAATTATTATATTTTTTCTGGGTATGTTTGTTTAAAAAATACTTCTTGTGGTTAGGATATTTAATCAAGGATTTTTTGTGAAATATTTGTTGTATTTGTAAGTAAAATACATTACCGGTAATCTCTTTTTTCTGATCTCAGGCAGTTTTTTGCTGAAAATGTTATTCTATTTGTTTTCTTATGTGTTTTGTTTTGATAATACATATTATGCATCAGCAGAAAATTGTATAGCTGATATTTGTTTATCTATTATTGCACCAACTGTATGTTTCTGTGATTATATTTATTTTTGCAGATTGAAAAATCAATTTCAAATCCCTGCATTGTTTGTGCCATGTATATATAAACTGTGTTATTTTATTTTGCGTATTTTTTAAATACTCCCCCTAGATGTGACATTAAAATATTGACTTCTTTTCCCAGTAATTAATAAATTAATAACAGCAAAATTGTAATCATGTTTTCAATTTGAGAAACAGACAGTATATCCTGTTTGGGCATGTCTTACTGTGATTTCCCTGTCTCCTTGTACCATAATGTAACGCAATTGTTTGGAGAGACGAAAAGGTGTCGGAATTTAGAGTTGCATTGTACTTGTTTGAGCCCTGACCCACATGGGACTGCAGGTTGAGATAACTGTTGTGGGAACCCTAGTTCTAACCTCTTTAGGGGTTCACTGGAAATTCTGGGAAACTGCCTTGTTGGTCTGTCATCCAAATTGAGATTTTAAATTTCAGGATTGTATTTTAAACTTTTAGGTAGCATCCGGATGGGACAAACTGATCAATCAAACTTGTCTGAAGCAATTACAAAAAATTAAGTATTCAGGAAATACTTGTATCAGATAGAATGGATGGCAGAATAGACTGGGAAATACAAATGATGTTGAAAGGAAAGTACAAATGTACTTTATATAGCAACTGACATAGTTATGGCCATGACGATATCAATAGTCCCATTTGCAACTTGATTAAAAGTCCACTTACGTTTTTTCCTTTAGTACTGAATATCTTCCAGATCTTCCCACTCCTTTAGTACTGACCCCCCCCCCCCCCCCCGCCCCCTTTCTTTTTCTTTTTTTTTTCTAATTAGTTTTTCAGTGTATGGATTCTCTGCATGTTCTACTTACTGCGCAGTCCGTTTGATCTTAATGAAACTTCATCATGTCCACTTTATCATAAAGTAGCTCACCACCCAGAGGAATGGCAGCAATAGGTCTATCAACCTGCTCATTACCCTGAACACTCAAATATCCTGGACAGAAAATCCATGATATCCTCCTGATCTGAGTCTTATCAAGGGAATGTAAGCCACTCTATGCATTGGCCACCAGTTTCAGTTTTCACAAGCATGCTCTGTGAGTCTGTTCCACTTACAACATATCAAGCAATGCTGCTCTCAGGCCATCAGTAGATGTTGTTTATACATGAGGCTCCCTGTTTTCAAATGGTGTCCGTTCATCTTGCAATAAAACCCCACCTACTCTTCTTATCTCTCACTACAGACCTATCTGTGTATATAATGATTCACCCGTCATTAATTGTCTTTGATCAGCTCTTGCACAACTGTCTCTATTTCGCCAGTTATCCATTCCTGGCACCTTGGGTCCAAGGTAACTATCACTCTTTGGAAATCATTTGCTGGGCAACGCTGTGACCAATTCCTTACCATGCAGTCTCGAGTCAGTAGTACAAATATTTTTTATAGTGACTTCAGATTGTGCCATCCAAGAGCTGTCTCTTTTAAGCTGATGTCCCTTGCTATCCTCTAAGGCCTCATGCAGATGTTCCTTGTCGGTTGC